TCCCTAGAAAGACCCTGTGACACAGTAGGAAAGGGGCCTCTGCTTGGTGGAGGCCGATGGAGCTTCTGATGTGGCCACGGCTGGGCACTGCCTTTAGGGTGCTCCCTGCCTTTGAGGTGACAGTCTCCCAGTGTCCTCAAACCCTCCCTCTGTGACAAAGACACCTCGGTCAGGGAACTATGCAGAACAGAGTGAATCAGGCTCAGAACAGGGCCCAAAGAAACACGAATTCCTTTCTCCTGAGCCAACTACCCAATCCAACCACCATGGTGACGGGCAGGGCGGCCTCCAGGACCCGCCGTGGTTGACTGAATGAACTATAGAACTCATACAGGACTGTCGGCCACACTCCCTCCTCTCACCATCTTCGCTTCCCAAGTTTCAGCATTGGACAACGCGATCAAAGAGTGCACCTTCACGTTTGCTAGCCATGCTGACAGACATCTACAGATACTGAACAGCCTTGCTAAGAAATTAAAATTCCCTTTCCCTTTGATACTTTCAGCCACATAGGTGCTATTTTCAAAGGATCCAATGGGTGGCAGTAATATGAAGGAAATGCCAGCTGTCCTGCTTGTTCAACACTGAGGATAGCACAGAAGAGCCTGTCAGACTAACCTCTGCCTGACTCCCAGCTTTGCAGGGCAACTTCTCTCGCAAAGCCTGTCCCCAGGATTAAGTGAGAGGATAGATGCAAAGCCCTGGTACAGCATCTAGCACACAATAGAGTGCACATAAATGGCAGCTATATTAATCCCCAAGCCTGTTTGAACTGCTATGACTAGTAAGAGAGTTCCACATGAGAAATTCCATAGAAAATTCCTATTCCCTTTAAAAGCAGTTTCCGAATGGGGAGAGGAAGTATCTGAACACAATCTTGTAAAAGAAAAGAAAATTAATCCCCATGGATGATGAAAAGGTCTTCAATGCCCAGGCAATTTCTTTGAGCCACATTTTAAAGGCTCTTCATCTGGATCCTTCATCTCTTTCTATTGGGCTTGAAGTCATTCATTCATGTATTGAACAAATATTTATTAACTTCATATTATGTGCCAGATAATAGGTTTTGGAAAGTCATCTCTTAAAAACACACTGCTTGCTTGTAATCATGCATGCACACAACCTTTGGGACAACTCACTTCTTCCAGGACAGTGATGGTCTTTCTAACTTAATCTTGGAACACATGGTTTGACAAAGGCCTTTTTGATTTGCGGATTTAATTTTAAAGTCAGCTACACACACACACACACACACACACACACACACACCACTGTGAGAGTTGTTACAAATATAAAAATCAAAGCTACCGCCTCTTCCTTCAGGGATCTCAGAGCCAGTGGGGTAATCAGGCAAGAATAGCAACTATAAGCTGAAACCGGTTTGGCTCAGTGGATAGAGCATCGGTCTGCGGACTGAAAGATCCCAAGTTCGATTTCGGTCAAGGGCATGTACCCAGGTTGCAGGCACATTCCCAGTTTGGGGGGGGGGGGGTCGTGAGAGGCAGCTGATCGATGTTTCTAACTCTATCCCTCTCTGTAAAAAATCAATAATATATATATATATATATATATATATATATATATATTAAAAAGAATAGCAACTATAGCAAAGAGTGAGGAATGCAATGACCGAAGTCTAGACACCAGACACAAAGTCCACCTGATGGGATCCAAGAAGGCATCAGGAGACCGATCAGGAGAACATGGCATAGGAACTAAATAATGAGCATTTAAACCAATTACAATGGAAAACAAGTTAACATTAAACAATTTTTAATGCAAATTCTAAAGCAAATCTTGGCCCAGGCTAGTTTGGTGTGGTTAGAGCATTAGCCTGCAGACAAAAGGGTCACAGGTTGAATTTCCAATAAATGGCATTGTAACTTGATTGCAGGTTCCCTAGCCCTGGTTGGGGTGCATGTGGGAGGCAACCAATTAATGAGTCTCTCTCATGTGTGTGTCTCTCTCCCTGCCCCCAATTCCTCCCTTCCACTCTCTATAAAAATCAAAAGAAAAAATATATTCAGGTGAGAATTTTAAAAAAATAAAAAAGCAAATCCTGGAATTCATACTTCTTCAAGGTATTGCCTACCCAGCAACACAACATAAATAATGCAACCAGAGTAGTCCAAATAGCTGTAGATTAAGTTAGAAGCCAGCGAGTTCTGAACCCACTCTATTTTTAAACTCTGTAATCATGGAAACACTGACTCTGAATCTCCTTTTCTTATGTTTAAAACAGCAATAACACTACCTACCCTGACTACCTTGTAAGTTTCTTCTGATGATCACATAAGAAAATATCCTATATAATAAAAGCCTAAGTGTTCGGTTGTTGGGTTATCCTTTTAACCAATCAAAAAGAAATATGCTAATGATATGCTAAGGTTGTTCAACCGCTCACTAGGATGTGCACTGACCACCAGGGGGCAGAAAGTCAACCAGTTGATCAGTCGCTATGATGTGCACTGACCCCCAGGAGGACAGACGTTCTGACCTATAGGTTAGCTTGCTGCTGGAGTCCAACCAAATGGGACTGAGCAAGAGGGGCCAGACATGCCCTGGAGCCCTATTGTGGTCCCTCCCCAGCTTGCCAACCTTTCGTGTCCCTCCCTGGCCCCGACCGTGGGTAGATGCGTGGCAGGTAATCAACCAAAGACCATCCTATATAATAAAAGGCTAATATGCAAATAAATCAAATGGTGGAATGACTCATCTCTGTGACATGCACTGACCACCAGAAGGCAGACACTCAATAAAGGAGCTTCCCCGTGGTGTCAGTGTACTCTCCCACAGGGGGAGCGCTGCTCAGCCAGAAGCGGTGGCAGGAGCTTTTCCCACCTCTGCTGCAGGCAGGCAGTAAGGAACAACGGGTCCCAGACTGTGAGAGCCTCGGACTGTGAGAGGGATGTCTGAGTGCCAGCTTAGGCCCTAAGCCAGCAGGCGTACAACCCCCAAGGGGTTCCAGACTGCGAGGGCACAGGCCAGGCTGAAGGACCCCCCCTCAAGTGCATAAATTTCGGGCACTGGGCCTAAATAACTTTTTTGCCTTTGTAATACTTTTCTATTCATCCAAATCAACTTCTTACTAATGGCTTGAGAAAAAATTAAAGTCATTTGAAATTTAATACACATGTGTAAGCTATACATAAAAGGCTAAATTTTATTGTTTGTCATATACCATAAAAAATACATTTAGCAATGCATAACATTAATAAACTCTAACTTAAGGGCATTGTGACTATACAAACTGATCATTTCAATAATTTATATCTGGACAATTATCTTTGTAAATAGGTTATGATTACTCAAGCAATTGTAAGTATAACAATGTTTGATGCAACAAAAATTACCAACAATGTAAAATAAAGTTTTAAACTTAATGCTGATAACAGTTATAGGATGGTGACCTAGTATTTGTTGTTAATCCTCATCGCAGAGTATTTTTCCATTGATTTTTAGGGAGAGTGGAAGAGAGAAGGAAAGACAGAGAAAAACATCAATATGAGAGAAAACACATTTGTAGGGAGCGGATATAAGGGTAAGCCTCAAACTGACCTGTTGACAAAGCCGCAAACAAGTCCCAGCTTAGAAGGCACAGCCCTCTTAGCACAATTAAGCTTGACCTTCTAACACCTAGATCTTATCTGGGTAGCCAATCGGCTGTGGGAGGAGCAGCAAGTGCTGCCAAAACCAGTGAAACTCACAAGAACATTGTAACTATGGTGACCACCACCTTGTTTATCTCTGACTATAAAATAAAGCACCAGCATGCCCTCTGGATCTCTCTCTGTGGCCTTAGCCAGGCACATGAAGATCCACCTAGCTTATTCTCTGTCTTTTCTTCAACCCTTCGCCATCCCCCCTGAGGCTCACTGAACCCTTGGATGTGCTGGCCTGGCAAACACATTGATCGGTTGTCTCCTGCACGTGTCCCCACCAGAGCTCGGGCCAGAGAGGAGCCTACAACCAAGGTATGTGCCCTTGACTGGAATCGAACCAGGACCCTTTGGTCTGCAAGCCAATGCTCTATTCACTGGGCCAAACAAGCTAGGGTGACCTAATATGTTTTTAACAACTTGATACTCTTTAAAATCAAACGGATTTTAACAACATTTACAAGATGCCCAAAATTTGCTAGGTTGCTACTTTTAAATTTACTAAAATTGATTCTTACTGTTAAATTAAATTAGATTGTACAAATATTAATCGAGCACCTAACCAGGTGTAAAGGACTGCCAGGTATTGTACAAAACAAGGATGAGTGGAATACTAGCCCTGCTTTTAAAGGCTTTATAGATACACACTCACACAACACATACACACATAAGCTAAATGCTAATTACTACTTAAATATTCCCAGTTTTTAAAATTTCTACAATTTGCTTTGGATTATGTGCCTTCAGTATATATGTATGATGTTGATATCATGAAGAAAAAATCTGAAGTATTAAATCTAAGGATGCTGTGACTCCTCAATGAACTACTATAAAAAGTCTAGTTAAAAGTCTCTTTTCAACATAAATACTAAAAATACTTACCCTGCAGCTAAGTGCTTATATTAGTGAATTGGCACAATGATATTAAAAAGTTTTATATAAAGAAACAATCTAGTTACCCACTTAACTCTCTCTATACAAATATAACTTTACTTAAATGCTAATGAAGCAGCCTTGTCATGTAGAAATAATGTTACACTTACAGGGCACTGGAGAATGTATCTATATCTAACATTTAAATGAATTACAAAACACTGATCTTTACAAATATACCTCATTATTTATATTTTATTTTCAGAAAAGACTTATAAATAGATCACTTATAAAGAATACATTTCTCACTAGTTAAATCACAATTCACTTTATAGTTAATTAACTTATATCCAAAGACAGTACTTTGCTGTAAAATTTCATTTTCTTCAACGCAAAACAAAACTTTATTTCAATAGAAAAAAATTTACATGTGAAAGTCAAAGACAATAATTTTAGTAAAAATGGCAATCAACCACCATATCTTTTCTTGAGTTCTTCAACAGACTTATCCTTCAACCCTGAGTTCTCTATGTGACTGAATAATACATGTGCAACTGAAAAAGAAAAGAAAAAAAATGTCCCATTTTAATCTCCATTTTTAAAAAAGTTTAGTGAAACAAAAATTAAAGGGAATAATCTGATCTGTCAAATAACATTTTACATTTGAAAGTTATAATATAAAGATTATTTCTAAATTCTAATTCAGATATTTAAAAAGCCAATCCGAGAATGGAAAATTACATAGCAATGCAATGTTTACCAAAATATTGTGCTTTAGCAGTAAGAAATTTCCTCTACACCCTCAATAACATTAATTTTACAGAGTAAACTTAATTCACTCTAAGCTTCCTAAAATTTTTACTCAACTATTTTACTTAATATTATAATTAACTGTTTTTCAAACTTAAATAATTTTATTTTAGAAGAAACTTTTATATCACTACTCTAATTGAAAATTACCAATAACATCTATAATTATATATTATATATATTATACAATAAAATGTATAACTATTAAGCAATCAAAGATCTTCCTATAAACTATGTAAAACCTTTATCTTTCACACCACTGAATGGTCCACACTCTACACTTTGAAAAATATTGTTATAGTTCACCTATTTCTCAACATTAAAACTAGCTAACAATTGTTAATAATAATGGCAATAATGGAAGATAAGAGCGCTAATATTTATTGAAAGTTTAGTTACATGCCAGGAACCAATATAAATGCTTCCCATGTTTAACTTAGTGGACAGTGGAGACCCAACCAAGATAGAAGGCCAGTCTGAAGAGCCAACTCACATTCTTGGAATACATTTTAACTTGTCACATTATAGTGGCAAGAAATTCTCTCATTCAACATGCTTCTACTGTTCTATGCCTGAGACCTAGAAAATAGTAGACAAAGTTCCTGCTCTCATGGAACTTTAATTCTATTAGGGAGAGAAATAATAAACATATACATGGAATTCTGCCAGCTAGTTATTTTGAAGAAAAATAAAGCAGGGTAAGAATCCAGAGGGTGAGGAGAGAGGACAGGCAGGAAAGATATCTCTGAATGTTAGATGGAAACTTAACAAAGTGAGGAAGCAGGTGGGAGATATTCCAGCTGAGGCTAAGTCTGGTAGTTTGGTATATTAAAAAACACCAAGCAGTGTAGTGGGGCCGAGTGAAAATAGTGATAGAAGGTGAGGTTAGAATAGTAGTAAGTAAAAGCAATACTTCCCGGGGAATTTCAGGAATTGTCTTTGATTAACAGAAGATGAAGCAGAAATTTCTTTTCATTTAAATTCTATTTTAAAATCTCTCTAAGTTACATATTCACTTCCCTAAGTAAAATAAGGAGTATTTTTTTCTTACTGATTAAGACTCATTCAATGTCACTGCTAGATACATAAAAAAGAAAAGGAGCCCGAAGTACATTTAGCCTAAGACAGTTATCGGCAAACTCATTAGTCAATAGAGCCAAATATCAACAGTACAGCGACTGACATTTCTTTTGAGAGCCAAATTTTTTAAACTTAAACTTCTTCTAATGCCACTTCTTCAAAATAAATTCGCCCAGGCCGTGGTATTTTGTGGAAGAGCCACACTCAAGGGGCCAAAGAGCTGCAGTTTGCCAACCACAGATCTAACTAAATCCTGCCTTTCTTTGAGAATTCAGCTAAAATGAAACAAACTCAGGGGAATTAGCTGTCACAGAATGGGTCAGATTTGCACCCACACCCAGTTACCTGCCCCCTGTGGCAGGGAACCTTCACATGCTGCATGATGGCAGAAGCTCAACCATTCTGTTACTACTGCTTTTTCAAATAGAAAAGCTCAGACTCTAGAGCAGGACTGCCTATGTTTAAATCCTAGGCCTGACTTCCTAGCTGTATGACCTTGATGGCATTCCTTACCACCCTATGCCTGTTTCCTCCTTTGTAAAAGTGGAATAATAATCATACCAACACCTCATAACGTTATTGTCAGGATTAATTTTTTTAAATTTTACTTAATTTAATTATGTTTTATTTGAATGTAAGTATATGTATAATACCTTGGACATAGTAAACATTCAACAAATGTGTGCTATCATTTGTTTAAAAAATAAAAGAGGAATGTAAGAATAAAGAGATATGGAAAAGCTTTGTTCACAGATCTCACTTTTTTTCTCAGGTTCTGACATGAACATCACTGCCATATCAAACCTTCTTAATTCAGAAAGCCTTTGTAAAATTTCCAAGATGAGTGATGGCTTTTCTTTCCTGAAATAAACAAAATAAAAAAACAAACGATCCATTAAAAGTAGCTCATTTAATTCTTTACTAACATAATATTTCTAATTATATGTAAATAAGGTCTTCATTTATCTTTTTCCCTGGGTACTTAAAATAAAGAATACTGTCTTTATTTTTAGTGCTCAGGTAAAGAAATTTATCAAGTCAATTGAAGAAATAATATTCTCAAATGTGAGGCATTGCACATGTTATTAATCTGCTAAAACACTTATTCACCTCCATGCCCTACTTTTCTCTTCAAAAAAAAACCTTAATCATTTCCCTCGTTACTCCTTGCACTTATCTTCACAACTTCTGCCATAGTAAAATTTACTAGAGTGCTAATATTGATCTATAGAAGGTAGTAATAAAATTAAAACAAGTGAATTTCCCAAACCCCTAGAAATAGCATAACACTACAGTATGAAAGTATAACTAAAAAAAGTCAACTTACTCAATGTAAAAGTCATGCAGAATTTTAATGATTTGGTTGAATACATCTGGATCTAAATTTTTCTGAAACAACTTAGGATACAAGGATGGTTCAATTTTCTTGGGAAAAAAATAGTAAAAAATTAAATTATGACAACATTCACATAAATTATGTAATAACTGCTTAGGTAAATATAGTAAAGAATAACTACTATGCATTAATACATAATGAATAATAATGGGGAGAGGGCTGTCACACTGAAATGTAATTAAAGATAGAAGAGTTAGAGGAACAGTAAGATAATTACTCTGTACAAATCAAAGAAAAACCTCAAACAGATAGATGTAAATCACCGTGAGAGAGACAGGAAACTTAAGAGTTTTCAAAAAGCAAGAACAGCCAAAACCAGTTTGGCTCAATGGATAGAGCGTCAGCTTGGGGACTGAAGGGTCCCGGGTTCGATTCTGGTCAAGGGCATGTACCTTGTTTGCAGGCACATCCCCAGTAGGGAGTGTGCAAGAGGCAGCTGATCGATGACTCTCTCTCATCGATGTTTCTAACTCTCTATCTCTCTCCCTTCCTCTCTGTACAAAATCAATAAAATATATTTAAAAAATAAAAATAAATAAATAAATAAATAAATAAATCAAAAAGCAAGAACAATAGAGAGTTTAAAAAATAAAATTACATGAGATAATGTATTTGGAATTAACTATCTATTGTATAATTATAAGGAATTACTATTATAATTAGAGGCCCGATGCATGGATTCATACACCAGTGGGTCCCTTGGCTTGGCCTGTGGGGATCGGGCAGAAATCAGCTCTCCAACAACCCCCAAGGGGTCTCGAATTTTGAGAGGGCATAGGCCAGGCCGAGGGACCCCACTGGGGCACAATAGGACAGGGAGGGACCATGGGATGGCTCCAGGGCATGTTCAGTCTGTCTTGCCAAATCCCTATCAGCCAGACCCCAGCAGCAAGCTAACCTACCAGTTAGAGCATCTGCCCACTGGTGATCAGTGCATGTCATAGCAATTGGGTGAACAGTCAAACACTTAGCATATTATGCTTTTATTTGATAAATTTCATATGATTTGATTCTTTTTCTTGGAGCAAATGAAATCTTTTTCAGGAGGACTACTACCTAAATATTGCAAGCATTACTTGACACAAAGAAGGCATTTAATGTATTTTAGCTTCTTTCCCCATCTTAAAGGATGAAGAAGTAAATTCAAGTTATGATATATAAAATCAGATTAGAGAAGAGAATTCAAAACAGAACCTATTTCCAAAGGTTCCCTTGTTGCAAATATTTTAAATGGTTTGGCCAACCCTAGCTTGTATGGCTCAATGGATAGTGTGTTGGCCTGTGGACTGAAGGGTCCCGGGTTCAATTCTGTTCAAGGGCACATACCTAGGTTGGGGGCTAAATCCCCAGTGGGCAGGAGGCAGTCAATCAATGATTCTCTCTCATCACTGATGTTTCACTCTCTCTTTCCCGCTCTCTTCCTCTCTGAAATCAATTAAAAATTTTAAAAATAAAACAAAATGATCTGGCTAGGGTGATACATGTGTCAAGTAAGGGATAATAAGAGCATTTTCAACAATCATATTATACAATACAAAGAGCAAATATAACACTATTATTGTATAGTGAGTGACAGTGTCCATTGACCTTTTATTTACAACAGAACTACTAGCTTCCTCTTTCTTACCGTCAAATACTGATATAACATATCTGGAGAACTTTTCAGTTGTCTAAAATCAGATTCAAGTTGGAATGAGTTTGCAGGAACTGGAGGAAGAACAGTTGTGATAAACTGAGCAGGCAATTTGTCTCCCTCTGTAGAAATCTTCTCATGGGAAGACTGACATACATCCTGTTTCATATTAGCTTTAGGTCTGCAATATTGCAGAGACATCAGTCAAACAATTGAAAAGAACCAAAATTAGTCAAAGCTTATTATAAGAAAGCATAAATAGAGATATTTAAATTTCTGATTTAACTAATATTAACATTATCTATTTATATCCTAGAAATACTTCATTGTTTCAGCAGATAACATATGTATATTTTTTTGCAAGACATGCCTTTGCAAATTTTCACATGCTATGCAATGACTATTCTCATTTGTTGGGCTATCAGCCTGGCCACTTTTTGAGCACACCATTTCTATATACAACACTACTACATCATATATACTTACAACTCAGCCTTTCAAAAATCTGAATTATAAGTTTCAAGAAAGATATTCTGAGAAGAAAAAAATGCTTTCTCCTTAAAAACCAAACGAACAAAACCACTTTCCCCACAATCCATACTATTACTAAAATTTAAAGTTTAAAAAAAATTCCAATAGAATTGTTGAGTGCAATGCAATAATATATGAATAAAATGTCAAGACCTCAAAACAAACCTGTCTATATCTTTTATATTCTCACTAGAGGCCTGCAGGGATCGGGCCAAAATGGCTATCTGGCATCCCCCTAGGGGTCCTGGATTACGAAAGGGTGCAGGCCAGACTGAGGGGCCCCTCTGGTGCAAGATCAGGTGTGGAGAGGGCTCCAGGGCGTGTCTGACCTGTCTCCCCAGTACCCATCAGACAGACCCCAGCAGCAAGCTAATGTACCCGTCAGAGCATCTGTCCCCTGGTGGTCAGTGTGCATTATAGGGACTGGTCGAATAGTCAGACACTTAGCATATTAAGCTTTTATATATATATATATATATATATCTCAAAGAAACACACCACTACTTTTAACAATTCCAAACAAGCCCTGGCTGGGTCTGGCTCAGTGAATAGAGTGTCAGCTTGCAGACTGACCGGTCCCAAGTTCGATTCCAGTCAAAGGCACATGCCAGGGTTGCGGTTTGATCCCCAGTAGGAGGTGTGCAGGAGGCAGCTGATCAATGATTCTCTCTCATCGTTGATGTTTCTATCTCTCCCTCTCCCTTCCTCTCTGAAATCAATGAAAATACATTAAAAATTTTTTTCAAACAAAATTTAAAACAACACATAAATAGTCTTAAATATGAATGGCTAGAATAATGTAAATGTTTAAATTCTACATTTTTCAGAAGCTTTTTTTTTTAAATTTAAACTTGATGCTGAATTAAGAAGGGAAACAATATACTGAAATTTGAGGCAAAAAATGAACACAACCAACTTGTTCAAGACAATTTCTTATTATCTTTAAATTCCCCACCATGGCAAAGGAACAGTGATCATTCCTTATGCAAAATGTCTCTGAAGAGTCAGAACAAATAAAAAAGAAAAACTAGAACATGAAGTTGGGTAATTCAAAAAATTACAATGGTGAGTATAAACCAAAACTCTCATTGGTAATATCAATTTTCTAGTGGAATTAAATCCTGGGTCTGGCTTTACCATTCTAGAGATTATCCTATATAATAACAAGCTAATATGCTAATTAGACCAAACAGCAGCAGAACGATCGTCCGGATGACCTTCTGGACGAAGCTGGGGCTGCAAGGGCTGAGCCCCTTGCACAAATCTCGTGTATCGGGCCTCTAGTAAAAAAATAATAGTTCTACTTACTGGAGGGCTGAAATCTCACTGATTTCTTCTATTTTCAATACTTTTGCTTTTGGAATGTCACTCGCGGGCAAAAGGTCATCTTGGCTTGAATTCTTCTTACTTGCAATGCCTGTGGTTGCAGTTACATCTGCTATGTTAACAGGATTACTCTCTGGAGCAGCAGCAGTAGTGCTCTCTGGCATGTCAATAGTCTGTATCAAATTACCAGTTTCTTCAATAATCACCTTCTTGAGTGGTTTCTAAAACAATTAAAATCAATTCCTTAAATCAACACATAAAGTTTTTCTATTTTAGAATTACAAATTAAAAGATTGCAGTGTTCTTACAGACAATATCCCAGTTATAAAAAAAAATAATTCAATTTGATGGCTAGGCAGACTGAGGAGTCACACTCTGAGAACACAAATAAAAAGATTCATAGCACCTACCATACGTATGTCTAAATGAGGAAAGAAGATGTGTATATAAATAATTACCAGGCAATGGGATACAAACCATAAAAAATGAAAGCACAAACCTATGAGAGAACACAGAGGAAGGCAGAAAAACATTGGCATTAGCAGAGACTTCTTAGAAAAAGTACAAAAGAATGGCCATGTGGAAGATTAACTGTGGTATGTGTGGTCAATGAAAAGGTGATAAGTCCAATGGCACTGATGCAAAGAGAGAAGTGATAGAGACAAAGTTTGAAAGGCTCATTAAAAATAGCTTTTTAAAGGATTTGTGTGCCATGTCAAGAAGTTTGGATTTTATTTTAGAGGCAATAAAGCCAAGAAAAAATATTACCAAACTGATAGCAGTATTGTGGGCTAACTGAAAGCAAGAAAAACAAGGTTAGACAATAACCAGCATTCTGAATAAAACAGACCAACATTAAAAACTGAATACAGCCGAAACCGGTTTGGCTCAGTGGTAGAGCGTCGGTCTGAGGACTGAAGGGTCCCGGGTTCGATTCTGGTCAAGGGCATGTACATTGGTTGCGGGCACATCCCCGGGAGGGGGTGTGCAAGAGGCAGCTGGTTGATGTTTCTCTCTCATCGACGTTTCTGGCTCTCTATCCCTCTCCCTTCCTCTCTGTAAAAAATCAATAAAATATATTAAAAAACAAAACAAAAAAAACTGAATACATCTAGTTGGTGTAGCTCAGTGGTTGAGCATCAACCACTATAAAAAGATTTATGAACCCGGAGGTCACAGTTTGATTCCGGGTTAGGACACATGCCCGAGTTATAGGCCCAGTACCCAGAAACGGGCATGCAAGAGGCAACCAATCAATGATTATCTCTTATAATGATGATCTTCTTTCCCTCTCTTTTCCTCTCTGAAATCAATAAAAATACATTTAATAATAATCTTATATAATAAAAGGCTAATATGCAAATAGACCAAATGGCAGAATGACCAGTTGCTATAACATACACTGAGCACCAGGGGGCAGACACTCAATGCAGGAACTTCCCCCTGGTGGTCAGTGTGCTCCCACAGGGGGAATGCTGCTCACCCAGAAGTCCTGAACCAAGCTCACGGCTGGCAAGTGCAATGGCAGTGGCAGAAGCCTCCCGCCTTTGCTGCAGTGCTGGGAAGTGGGCCTAAGCTGTCAGTTGGACATCTCCTGAGGCTCCTGGACTGCAAGAGGACAAAGGACACCCTCCCTCCCGAGTGCATGAATTTCGTGCACCGGGCCTCTAGTAATAAATAAAATCTGAATACATTTTCTATATAAGACACTGGATAAAGCCAACTTAGGATTAAAAGTTTGCCAAATAATATTCACAAACTTGTTAATTGGCTGTAATAGTGGTTTATAATTTAATAAAATAAATTGCATTCACTATTTCAAACATTACAAGTATCAAATACTTTCAATTTTTTCTAAAGTTTACATACTGTACTCTTATTTTTAACAAAAAAAAATTTTTAGGATAATGTAAGTGTTCAACTGTATAGTTAAATAAGAAAGCTGTTAGCAAATTTGTTAAAAGAATCCTGTTAGCAGTTCTATTTTAAAAGATAATCATGTTAAGCGAAGGCCTTTGCTTTGCTGAGAACTATCATCAGTAATAGATAACTATCAAGATATTGGTCAAGAATGGATATGTATTAGTGTTTAAAATATAGACTATAATTTGACAGGCAATAATTATTGAATTATATCAATACAGTATTATTTAAAAACAAATACTTTCATTGACTTTAGATGTGTAAGCATGATCCTAATTAACAAATTTCCAAATAGATAGTCTCTGTTAACTGTAGACAAGGGATGGGGGAATGACAGTAGGAACAGAAGTAAAACTCAAAAGATACCACTACAGAAAGACTTATGAAAAGATATGAAAGGTTGAATTCATCACTATTTAAAAATTAAAAGTTAGAAACTTGGCATTTTATTTAGCTCTGTATAATAGCCAATTCAAGAAAAAGAAAGAAAAATAAATAGAAAGGGAAAAAGAAAAGGCTAAGGACCAAAAAAGAAAGGTGAGGTTTTGATATGAAAAAAAGTATTTTAGCAGAGACTAAGAGATCAGAAAAAAATTTCATTTACTACCACCCGTATCAGGGAAGCCCAGGCCCTTGCTTAGCTGATCTACATCACTGGTCTCCCATGCTCTCTCTGGAGATTTGACTAAAGTTCTCCCAGGCTACCAGCCCTTGACAAACAGGCTACCCTGGCCTAGCCTCTCACTTGAATAAAAGTAACCCACCCCAGAATTCTCTCTTCACTTCTTAGACTTCCTTCCTTTCCTGACCAACTTACTCAGTGACCGGGTAGACTCACAATATGTAACCGAAAGGAAACTAACATCTATTTCACCTGACACTGCCTTAGTATTAATGGACATTATTCCTTTGATCTCAACTAATCTGTAAGTTAATCTCAACTTGAGAAAAAGTGAGGATCCCACAGGAATTGGGTAACTTGCCTAAGATTTCAAAGTTTATAAAGTGGGGCTCAAATCAACTCTAAAAAGCATTATACCAACTATACCTTCTATTTTTCAAATAAATGCCCACATTTTTATTATGGAAACCTATTATAAAATAAATAGCCTTCCCCCCCTACTTGCCTACTAGGATAATAATTTTGTTTGTGATGGATCATTTATAGAATAGTTTACCCCAGATCTCTCATTGCAGAGGTGTTTTGTTTTGAGATTGTGCCACAAGAGACTTAAATTCATGTTGCATTTTCACAACTATTAACATAAATTGATTTTTAAAGTGAGAGAGAAGAGAACCAAAAAGATTTCTAAAAGTTTGCTGAGGGTATCTTGGCCATGGGACATAATATATAAATATATACACATATTATGCATATTATATATATATATAAGCATAATATGCAAATCGACCGGACAACAGAATGACCAGGTTGGCTATGATGCGCACTGACCACTAGGGGGCAGGCACTCAACGCAGGAGCTGCCCCCAGCCTGCAGACCCCGATTGCTCGATTGGGGCCTGCCAGCCAACCTCTTGGTTCCTCCCCCGATGGGGAACTAGGGGTGGATGGTGATGGAAGCAGGCAGTACCAGGGCCCCAATCGCTCCACCGGTTGCCCTACACACGGAAGGCAACCAGCAGTGGCGGCGGTGGGGCTGGCTGCTGGCAGCCAGGAAAGATTGGCCCTGATCACAGGCCAGGCCTAGAGACCCTACCTGTGCTGTGTCTTTATAATTATGGACAGTAAAGTCTGAAAATGGCTTCTTAAAAACCTGTGACTTAGTTTTTGTGAAGAAGTCAATACTCAATCACCTTTATTGAAAAGAAAAAAATAGTAAATGAATATAATGAATGAAAATTAATATAATGTATGAAAGCAACTAGCTTTATGCCTGGCACATGAAACAAGTATTATCTCAGAAAATTCAAGAGTAAAGTCACAATAAGAACTCTGGAAAAGCTAAACTAAACTAAGGATTTCTCTATCTACTACTAATCTGAAATGTGAACTTGGCAAAACAATTTAACATCCTTTGCCTCACTCTTTCTTTAGTAAAAAAGAAGATAAAAATATCCACTCTGACTTCTTATAAATTTGTTATTACTCTCAAAGTAACGCCCATACGTAACAGGGGGCAAGAGAGAGAATTACCATCCATGAGGGGCATGCAGGGAAATTTGGAGGGGAAGGGAGGGTGATCCTGGTGGGTGGTTTCATAGGTGCTCACTTTATAATTATTTTTTAAATCTTAACTAATCTTGTGTATTTTTCTACATGTATTTTATCTTTCAAAAATTTATATATACATATATTTTAAAAACTATGTCAATGTTGGAAACTACCTTAGAGTCACATTATATATTTGCCTTAAATGAATTCAATTTTAAAAGCTTAACACAAAACAAACTGCTGACTTCTTTTTGTTCCTGAAGTGCAGGAAAAAAAACTTGGCTTTGTTTAACTTAATGAAAAACAGTATGGTATACCAAAAACAACATGCAGTACATATTGTAAAATATATTCTTGGCTATACAAGATTTTGTGTAAGTGCTGATTTTAGATCTTACCTCACACAAGATGCAAGAGTTATTTTAAAACAATCCCAATCTCAAATAAGAATAGAAATAAAAATTACTATTTCAAAAATGTAAAACTGCTTCAAATTCCTTTGATATCAAAAAACGTGGAAATATTTAAATTTATGGTGTTAAAAACTAAAGGCACTTAACTCTAAATAGATCATTTTCCCCCAATGTAATTACATCAATAATCCTAAAAAGTATTTTCTATTGACCCTAGAAAAGACTTCAACATTTCCTTTAAGAGATTTTAATTCAATAGTTTGTTTCCTACTCTTATTCATTCCACACTGATACTTACATACCAAGAAAGAAAAAGAAAGACAATTGTTTCACTTACAGCTGATCCAGGAAGGGGTGGATTATCAATGGGTTTTACCACATTCTGCCTTTGAGTAGAATCAAGAAACACATCATCCCAGTGTCCTTTTTCAATTAATTCCTTGAAAATAGATTTGTAATCATGACTATAAAAATATTCTCAAGTTAATTATGCAACAAATAAATGTGTTTAAGTTGCAGAAAATAGAAGTATATATTGGTGAAAATAATATATTACCTTTTTAATTTTGGAAAGTTCAGTTATTGCTTGCTTATTTCCAGGTTCCAGAAGCAAAACAGTTTCAAAATCTAAAGTGAATTTTTAAGAAATATAATAAATTAGTGAAAACACTTTATAAAGTTTAAGATATGATATATTTATTGGTTTAATAATCCCATGTTTATTTCAGGAAGTTTTACTCAGGATGCTAGGAAACATGTAAGCAACAATAAGGACTAACATTTACTGAGTGCTATTCTTTATATGAATTCTGATATATTCCTCACTACAACCCTATTTTACAGATGATACGATTGAGGCCTGCAGGTCACATAACTTACCAAAACCCACACTACTAATAAATGACAAGGTAACTCACTAAATGTAAGATAGAGTCTAGTAATATTCAGCCTTAAAAAGGAGTTGAATTGTGATACATGCTACAACATAGATGAACCCTGAAGAAATTATGGTAATTGAAATAAGCCAGATACAGAGGAACAAAATACTGGATAATTCTACTTATATAAAACACCTAGAATAGTCATATTCAGGGACAGAAAGTAGAATGGTGGTTCCAAGGAGCCGGAGAAAGAGGGGAATGGAGAGTTACTGTTTAATGCGTAGAGTTATCGGAATGAAATGAAGAAGAAGTTCTGGAGATGAATAATGGTGATGGTTTCACAACAAGGTGAATGGGTTCAATGCCAATGAACTTAAAAATGGTTAGAAGAGTAAGTTTTATGTTATATATCTTTTACCATAATGAAAAAAATGCATGGGTTACAGCTGAAGCCAGGTTTAGAGAAAAAATGACAGAATTAAATGCATGGATCAGGAAAAAAAACTGAAAATCAATTATCTAGGTATTAATGTTAAAAAATTAGGAAAAAAAAATCCAGCAAATTAAATCAAAAGACAGTTCAAGGAAGGAAATAAAGAGTAGAAACCAATAGAAACAAGTTGGTTCTTCAAAAACACTAATACATACTTAAAAGACACATCAATGAAAAATAAAAGAATAACTAGTATTAAGAAAAAAGGGGGGCGAGGGCATCACTACAGACTTTACATTATCCTCTATCTCCAGCTGCTGATTCCCTTCCTTTTCATTCTTGCCTTTGTCTTGCTTTTTTCCTTCTCACCTATAATTCAAATCTTTACTAATTTTGATTGGCAACTAGCCAGATTGTACTGTATGCTATCAAAATATAATCAGGTCTACTATTGAAGCTGCATTCTTTCAAATCTGCATACATATTCATGATTTACACTGAGAAAGAAAATATGTATGTCTTTCTCTAAATTCTGTATCCTTGAACCATGGGAAGGCTACACAAATCTCTGCTTCTATAACTTGGGAATCTCGTCAGAATGAGTGAGTAGCAGTTGTTATGAAAATAGTCGTACCTTGTTTGGCCTCATTTAGCTTTCCCAAAAATGTTCTTGCAGTTCCTCTTCTGGCATAAGCTTTAGAATACGAACCATCTAATAAAATAGCTCGTGTGCAGTCCTTTTCAGCCTCTTCATATCTATTAAACATAATACAATTACAAACTGGAAAAATGCAGCCTATAGAAAAACTTCATATAAGCTGAGTTTCTAATATAAAAAAAGCAAGCACAAAATTTCAAATATCAATCCCATATCTGTGTTTGAGGGAACAAGCAATTATAAAATTTTATATTCTCACCAAATCTTGAGGTCATCTGCTAAGGAGGGAGAAGGTACCAGATTAAAGGAAAATCATAAAAGGGTGGAATTAGGATGGCAAAATATGAGTAGAGCAGACAAAAGAATAGTACTGCTGGAAGTCTGCTACCCTATCCCCTCCACCCACCCCCATCCACCTTCAATATGCACACACTGCATTAACAATTATAACAGCATTCATTTTCTAGTAAAACTAGAGGCCCAATACACGAATTGTAGGATCAGGCCGAAACCAGCTCTCCAACCTCCCCAAGGTGGTCCTGGATTGTGAGAGGGCACAGGCCAGGCCAAGGGACCCCATGGGTGCACGACTGGGGCCCGGGAGAGATACAGGTTAGCCAGCTGGGGAGGGATTATGGGAGGGCTCCAGGGCATGTCTGGCCTGTCTCGCTCCAGTCCCGATGCGTGGGACCCCAGGAGCAGGCTAACCTACCGATCAGAGCATCTGCCCCCTGGTGGTCAGTGCACGTCATATAGTGGTTGAGCAGCCTTAGCATATTACTCTTTGGTTGAACAGCCAACCAGACAACTGACACTTAGCATATTAGGCTTTTATTATATAGTATTCCATTTTTACTTATAGTACACATTGCCCAAGGAAAAACAATGACAAAACATTATATATTTGTAAGTATATCATCTGACACTTCATAAATCCTATTCAGCGAAGCAACCAACAATCAATTCAGTCAGACTGTAGTGCTCTATAATAACAAGGCACTAAGAGCTAAAACACAAAAACTTGAGACCCTATATATTAACACATCGCGGACAAATCACAAGAATTCTCGTGTCTTCTGTTCTAAGGCTTGTGGCTAATCACAAGAATTCTTTAAAAAGATATTAGCTTGTATGAATATGTAATAAATAACTTCAAAATGCAATGGGTATTTAATTTTAAAGCATGTCTTTAACATTTATGTAAAACGTTTTTTGTACTTGTTCAATAGAAACATCTGGCCACTGGGTAAAGCTAGCAATAAAACTACTGGTCTGAAATATGTTAAAATAACAATAAATTCTTTTTCATTTATATGGCATGATAATGGTATTGTGGTTACACCTGAAGTATCCATTAGGGATAAAATGTCATAATGTCTGAAACTATTTACAATTCAAGAGAAAGAAAAGAAAAAGAAAAAAAAAGCTGAGACAAATATGAAAAAAAAAAAAAAAAAAAGCTGTGGCTTTTTTAAACTAGATGGTTTAAAACATGGAGCTTTTTATACCACTTTCATGGAAGTTTGAAAAGTTTCATAATAAAAATACTTTTAAAAAAGAATCTCCTCTGATTACATTCTCCCCAAGGCCTAAGTGAATATTATTATACCCTCAAAACAAGATCTACTCTGAACAGAATCAGATCTTTTAATGAACTTAAAATTTCTGAATTCTTGAATTCGTTTTTCAACGAGAGAAAGAATATCTTTCTCTTTCTGTGTGTGTGTGTGTGTGTGTGTGTGTGTCCATTCCTTTACCAATGTTTTCTACCTGACTGATTTTATCATTCACCCAACCATGATACTTGCATAGCCACACATTGTTCAAGATAAACTCAAGCTCCTATGCAGAACACGAAGTCCGGGGCCTGCCTGACTCTCCAGCCTTATCCTTGTCATTATCCCAAGCATAATAGCAATAATATGGACCACCTGCCCTTTCCAGAAATTATCATGAAATTTCCCATTCCTGAGTCTGTGAATTCCTCTGGCATACCTGTTTATTTCACCTCACTATGCAGACTAACCCTTTAGACCTTATTTCAGCTCAAATTCCTGTTTGAAAAGTTGTCCCTTTTTATAATCCTCATCTAGTCTGTAATGGCTGACAACAGTCACCATGTGGTGGAGAAAACTTCTGTATTAAGTGCATCTAAAAGATACACTAGAAAAAAATACAAATCAGAGTCATATTTAATTTAAAATATACCATTAACTTACTATAACATACTAATGAAATTATCAACTAAAACAATATAATAATAGAATAAATTAGAGTGCTCAAAAATGCAGATATAATTTATCACCTATTAGAAGTTACTATTCTTAGTATTAGTCAAGCCTAGGAATCCAAATCTTACAATTTTTAAATCATGCACAATTCCTGAATAGCAAAAAACAAAATTTTCATAAGCTAGCAAGACATGCAATGATCTTTACTCTGACTAATCAAAATAATATATCTCTAGTATGTCTTTTAGATTCAACGAGGTTAAATACACAACCAAAATTTACTTCTATGATAGGGGTTCTTAACTTGAGGCCCTTTGAGAAATCTGAAAACTTAGGTGGAAAAAACATTACATCCTTATTTTTACTAACTTTCAAATAAACTTTCGCTTTTCTTCCTATCAGAACTATAGATAATAAACCACAGTAGTAAAAGCAGTACCTATGCCTTTGTCACCAATAAAAATTACAGATATTTTCATATCACATTATATTTGTGACAGATATCTCACAAATTGTTTTGAGATATCACCATTTCAGAATTACAGTAGCAACTTAACCTGCTACTTGTCTGCACGTGATCATCCTATCCTATATAATCCTATATAATAAAAAGCTAATATGCAAACAGACTGAACAGTGGAATAACCGAACAACTGAACAACCGGTTGCTATAACGTGCGCTGACCACCAAGGGGCATGCACAGAACATGACAGCTGTCGGTAGCAGGCAGCAGAGCGAGGAACATGGCCAAGATGGTGGAGCAGGTAAGTTGGGGTGTCAGACGAAAGAGGGGAGAGCCTTTGGTGGTTACTGAAAATTCTTTGCCCCCGCGTGCCGCAGTCCCACCCAATGCTCGCACCTGCTGCTGGTGCCGGCCCCGCTTAGCACCTGCTGCCAGCACCCAGCGCCAGCCCCAATTGCTCAGTGCCATCAGCAGGTGAGAGTGGCGGCTGCCGGCTCTGATTGTCCCTGAGCGCTTCTCTACCTCCCCCTGCTCCTAAGGGGTGATTGGGGCTGGCAGCTGCCTCTTGCACCTGCTTCTGGAGATGTCTTGCTCGCACTCACTGACAGCACTGGAGCCACCACTTGCACCTGCTGATGGCGCTGGCGCTGGTCCCAATTGCTTGGTGCTGTCGGCAGGTGCAAGTGGTGGCTGCTGGCCCTGATCACCCCTGAGGGCTTCTCCAACTCCCCCTGTTCCTGAGGGGCGATCAGGGCAGCAGCCATTGCTCACACCCACTGCTGGTGCAGGCACCAATGGCTCCACACTGTCAGCGGGTGCAAGTGAGGCTGGCACCATCAGCACGTGGGAGCAGCGGTGGTGGAAGTGGGCTACAGGCAGCGGTGATGGAAGCGGGAGGGGCCGGGCAGGGGCACGGAAAGTGGGCTGAAACCTACCTCTGTGCCTACCACAGCCTTGCAGATCACAGTTCCTTTCAAAGTGCATGAATTCATGCACTGGGCCCCTAGAAGTATTCTGTTTATAGACACTCCTGTCATAGCTAGCCAACATCTGGGCAATTTTATCCCTAGGAGTTACTCAAATGGCAAAGAGTTAAGTCATATGTTATCACACTAATAATATAACCATCAATACTGATTTCTAAGTATTCCTTATCCACACTTTATTAATCAACATGTGGGAGATGCATCAAAGATCACCCCAAATTCTAGTGTCTTTATTCAAGTCTTCACATTAACATCTTTTAAAAACTTTTAGCTTTAACTTGCCTATATTTTAAATATAGTTTCTCATTATATAATGTGTTTTAAAAAGTACATTATCAGGATATTGCAAATTTTAATATTTTTAAAATTATATCTCAATATAATTGGTTTCCTTTATAACCCTAAATGCATTTAATAATTTTGAGAACATTTCACAGGGAAGCCAAAGGAGTCCATGGCACAAAAAAATTTAAAATCCCTATTTATAATATTTATAGCATTTTTTAAAAATTCTGTCACTAGTGTGTACAATATTATTACAAAAGATACAAAGAACTGTAAGACATAGATTCTGCCATCAGATGTTACCCTGCTGATTGCCTAACGTGGAGACCCTGAGAATATCCAGAAACCAAGTTTTAGTTCATGTATAATCAATTAGCAGTTTCAATGACAGCAATTCTTGTTTGTTATATATGTGTATGTATAAATACACATAAAGGTATATATACAAAAAACACTTCCAGATAAGATTTTTCCCAAATGATTCTAAAGTTAAAAATAATTTTCAAATAACTAATTCAGAATAACATGCATAAAGCAATTTAAAAGTGTTAAACTGTGTAATGCCAGACTATTAAAGTGGAAAAACATTTACAAGAGCAAATTTACTTAATATGTACTATGACATTTTTCTCTCTCATTTTAATTTTAATGCTTAAGAGTAAATAAATTTTAATTTAGCCAATATGCAAATTTAAGGTAAATTTCATTTTCAACCTGAAAAGCATTAAATGTAACCAATACTTACTTCTGAATCTTCAGATAGGCCATTGCTCTGTTAGCTGGAAGAAGGGCATTAGCGCCATCTGCTGCTATTCCTCGAGTATAGCATTCAATTGCTCTTTCATACTTTCCCTCTTTGAAAAATCCATTCCCCTATCATTTTGGAAAGAAGTATGGAAAAGAATAAAAACATATGTAAGAAAATTAATTGAATTCACTACAAGGACACCGCTCATCAGTTTATTATATAAATAATTATAGTATACTTTAATTGTTAAAAATCTAGTCCGTGACACATGTTTTAGAATTTGTTAGTTTGGGTTGTTTTATAGAATGTTGTTATTCTCTTCAGCTCCCCCTAAAAAAAGTATACAACTCTATTACTCTGTAGCATTAACCCTTATTTTACTAAGTATTACACAAAGCTCTACTTTAAGCACATTATAATAAAGAGGCCCAAATAGTATACTCTTTAGTTATTTAGATGCTGTACAAAAGATGTTCGTAACACACATAATTTTTGTGAAAGAACAGAGTATCAGAACTGAACAACTAACTCTTCAGCAACATTAATAAACCTAAACATAGGATAAATTAAGCTATACTGAAATGTGTATACTAGATTTTATTTAATGTTTACTTATAATCGAAGTCAGATATATCACAATCAATGATCATTCCATAAGCATTTACTAGGAATCTTCTATGGCTCCAGGAAAAGCTGTAAATATATTAAATTAAAACTCAACTCAGGATTTCTATTGGAATTTTTCATCAGATAGTCTAGTGTGAACTATGAAAAAAATTTTAAGAACAAATTATAATTTATTTCTGTTAAATTTATAATTATATGTAAATATGTTAAAATGTTCAAAAGTAATTTGTTCTCTAAAATTAAATGTTTTTAATTATGTAATAAGTCATCAATTACTTAAATTTTGAATTAGTAGGCATCAGAAGTTTTATTATATTTATTTAATTTTCAGTTCCTACAGAAAAAAGAATTTTAATATATTAGAAAAGACAAAAAACTTAACTGATATATAAGAAACTAAGAGTAAACTCAGCAAAACACATAGATGGTGGGTTTCCTCTGGTTTACCCGATCTTTCTCTGTAATTGCCTGCTGCTTATGCTGCTGCTCTTCCATTTGCTTTTTCTCTCCTTCAGTTGACTTAATCATTGTGTCAGCTTCCTTTGGGTGTGAGTTTTCTTTGGATGTTAAAGCCTAGGAGACATAGCAGCTAAACTAAAACAGGTAATGCAAGATGCATACATATTTGACTCTAAAATAATAAATTACTCAAATAAATTAGAATTCCTGTTCCATTTCACAAAATATTTTTACTATTTCAAAGTCTTCCTACTTATTAAATAAAAGGCAAAAGACTATAATAAATTTAATGTGCATCTTATTCCAATTAAAATAAGTAGTATCACTAAAGGTAAGTACTTGTTTATTTATTCAACTAATACTTATTGAATTTCCACAGAGGCCAGTTACTGTTCAAGGAACTATTTTCAAAAAGAAAATAGGTAATTATGACCACATAACCAAACTCTCAAATTTAATTTTCATAGCCATTATTTGATTTAGGACAAAATGCAAAATATACAGCACAGTTCACAATTATAATCAAGTTGATATATTTACCAACAAGTTTTTATGTACAATAAATAATGGCCATATTTAGAAGCAGATTTTCCCCAATCATTGTCAATTTTTTCTCATAGTTTCAATAGATGGCAAATAATTATAACTAGTTCAACAGCAAAATGAAAGGAATGATCAACTGCTCAGTATCATTTGAAGCAAATTTTACATTTATATAACTATTTTCTTACTATTAAAAAATTAGTATATAAATATGCTATAATATAAACTACAAAGATGTAACAACTTAAAAACTACAAAATCAAAGAAATATGCAAAAGTTTAGTACAGAAATTAAAGCACAAGCCAAAACAAAGCAAAACAAAACAAAATTAGTAGGATAGTGAAAAATAAATCTGTCACCTGGGGGGAAAAAAGTAAAGCAACAGTAGTTCTAAAGATCTCAGACTACTTTCTAAAATGATGATTAAGGATCTTTAAATACCATCACACTACCTTTTATTTGCAAATTGTTTGGTAAAATCTATAGTACAAAAAATTAAAATTAGAAAAATGCCTATATTAAATAATCTGTAGTACAAAGTCTATGCTAAAACCCTTAGTTTATCAAATAAAGCTAATAAGTAATGCAGTTAATTTAAATAACTAATTTACCTGATCAATTTTCTTGAGTTCATTTGTTGCTTCAAAGTTATTTGGTTCCAGTTCTAATACTTTTTCATAATCTGAACAAAAGAGAAGATAAAGAATACTTGAAAGGTACATCTTTAAAAACAGTAACTACTTGCTGCAACATGTGACAAATAGACAACTGTCCTATAGCAAAATTAAGAGAAACTAAGAAATACTAACATTAGATAGTGGGCTCTCTTCATTCTCTCCCAAGACAGACAAAATCCTGACAGATCTATTTCTTCCACTAGGAAGGATCCTTGTTATCATAATTCGTATATCATAAAAGCAAAAAGCTTAAGAATCTTTTAGATATCTTTATTCAGACTATAATTTATATTACACATACCAATTTTATGGAATAATAAAATGCCAACAAATTACAAATAAATAAAAATGTATTAAGAGCCGAAACCGATTTGGCTCAGTGGATAGAGCGTCGGCCTGCGGACTGAAAGGTCCCAGGTTCAATTCCGGTCAAGGGCATGTACCTTGGTTGCGGGCACATCCCCGGTGGGGGGGGTGCAAGAGGCAGCTGGTCGATGTTTCTCTCTCATCGACGTTTCTAGCTCTCTATCCCTCTCTCCTCCTCTCTGTAAAAAATCAATAAAATATATATATTTTTAAATGTATTAAGAGCTTTACAATTATTACCTATAACTTCACAATAGCCAACATCTAGTCTACAGATGAGCAACTGAAAATCAGAGATGATGCAAAACCTTCCCCTGGTCACACAGCTAATACATGGCAGAATGACATCTTGAACCAAAATTTCATTGGTGGAAAATAATGCATTCTTTCCTAAAATATCAAGATAACTTTTTAAATTATAAAAATGAACTTTATTCAAATACAGAAAACTCTCTGAAGACAATAACTCTGATTACCCAATATTCTTTGTATAACATCTATTAAATGAAATTATTAAAGGTTTTGTTTTAGATAATGATGATCTGGAAAATACTAATACCTTTTTTGGCATCCTCTAATTTTTGCAGAGCAAATCGAGCAGCACCTCGTCTTGCATAAGCTTTTGTGTAACTCCTATTCAAGGCAATCGCTAAATTACAATCAGACTCAGCAACAGAAAACCTGCAATTAAAAAAAAAAATAAAGTGACATTAATAAAAACAATTTGTTAAACTAAAACTTCAAAATTTGTTTCTGAAATCCCCAAAAAAGGAATTAATTTCCCAACTGAAGGGGATATTTCTCATCTCCTTTTACTTAGTTAAGTCTATTAAAAGCAATAATTTTTTATAGTAAAATGTTAAGTAGCAGTACCTTTAAGGCAAAGAACACTGTTTTTTTTCTCAGTATTATAGGTCCTGGTCAATATAGTTCCATAAGAAAGACAGCTAAAAAAGACTGAAAAGGAAGGAACAAAACTGATATTCCTTAGATGACATGATAGGATACCTAGAAAACTCAAAATAATCTAGAGACATTGTTAGAAATAACAAAGTTTAGCAAGGTGGCTACTTTAGTAGAGATCAATAACAAAAAATAAACCTAACCAAAGATGTACAAGTGCCATACGCAGAACACTACAAGGCTGTCTTAAAAAATATCAAAAAAGACTTAAGTGGAGGCATTTCACATTCACCTATAAGGCACAAAAACATAATTATAATTCACTCCAAACTAATCTATAAATACAAAGCAATTGTAAGAAAAATCCCAACATAACTTTTCAAGGAATTTGATAAAATGATCCTAAATTTATATTGATAAGCAAAAGTCCAAGAATACCCAACACCTTCCTGAAGAATAAGGCAGGATAACATGCCCTACACCAAATACCACCAAGACTTAAAATTACAATGCTATAGTAATTAAAGATAGTATGGAATGGATTTAGTAAGAGGCAATAGATCAATGTAAGAATAAAGGGATGAGAAAGAAATCCATGCAAACTTGAGATATGACATGGTAGCACTGCAGATCCATGGGGAAAGCATGGATTTTCAATAAATAGGGCTGGAACAATTGGGATATTCATATGAAAAGATATGAAATTGGAATTCTACCTTCAGCATATATAAAAATGCTTAAATGTGAAACATGACGCAAAAACTTTTAGTATACAGGATATTATAAACTCAGGGAAGGAAACTATTTCAACAAATCATATTTTTAAAAGTGCTAACATTATTTTAAAAATACATTAAAATTATGAATTTCTGTTTATCAAGACTCCATAAAGGAAATAAGCTACAAACTAGAAAATAATTAATTACTATAATCAAGCACTAGAGAATTAGTATCTAGAATAAAGAAAAAATTAATAGCAAAACAACCTAACAGAAAAATGGCCAAAAAACAAAACAAGCATTTCACAGAAAATACAAGCGGTGAATAATCATATAAGATGGTTAGCCTCATTAGAAACTGGAGAAATGAAAATGAAGACCACAATGAATTACCATTTTCCAACCCCTTGACTGAAAGCAATTAAGAAGCCCTATTATATCAGTACTAGAGGCCCTGCATGAAATCCGTGCACTGGAAGGGAAGGGGGTCCCTCAGCCCGGCCTGACCCCTCTTGCAGTCCAGGACCCCTTGCTCCTTACCGTCCGCCTGCTCACTGCTCTTTATCACTAGGTTCACTGTTCCTTAGTGCTGTTGCGGAGACGGGAGAAGCTCCTGCTACCGCAGCTGTGCACACTAGCACTGAGCAGGCTTCTGGCTGAGCAGCACTCCCCTGTGGGAGCTCACTGATCACCAGGGGGCAGCTCCAGCGTTGAGCATCTGCCCCCTGGTGGTCAGTGCGCCTCATAGCGGCCAGTTATTCTGGTTATTCCACCATAACGGTTGCTTAGGCTTTTATTATATAGTGGTAAAGATATAGAATAGGACTTGAGGTGGTAAACACACAATACAACAACATAGAGATGATGTCTTATAATACTGTACACCTGAAATCTATATTTTTATTAACCAATATCATTCCAATAAATTCAATAAAAAAGTTTAAAAAAAAGATTTAGAACAGGCATTCTTATACATTGCTAATGGGAACTGTAACCTTTATAACAACTGGTCATCACTATTTATGCCTGGACCGGTTTGGCTCAGTGGATAGAGCGTCGGCCTGCGGACTGAAAGGTCCCAGGTTCGATTCCGGTCAGGGGCATGTACCTTGGTTGCGGGCACATCCCCAGTAGGGGGTGTGCAAGAGGCAGCTGATCGATGATTCTCTCTCATCGATGTTTCTAACTCTCTGTCCCTCTCAATTCCTCTCTGTGTAAAATCAATAAAATATATTAAAAAAAAAAAAAAATAACAACTGGTCATCACTATTTAAAGTTGAACATGTGCACACCCTACCACCAAGAAACATGTAGAAAAGTGTTCATAGTATCAATGTTTTTAAATAAGGCAGGAAAGTAGAATGGGAGGTAGAGAGAGTGGGAAGAAGGAGAGGAAGAAATAAATAAACCAACAATTCAGCAACAGGAGAATGGATACATCATGGTGTATTCCTAAAAAGAAATTGTACGTAACGGTGAAGAGGTCTACAGCTATATGCAAACATGAGGAATCTGAGAAATTTAGTGTTCAGAGAAATTTAAGATTACATTCAGTATAATACATTTTTATAGTTCAAAAATTAGCAGTTATACAATATATTATGTATATAATAAACATTTAAAAATATATTTTATTGCTTTTTTACAGAGAGGAAGGGAGAGGGATAGAATAAGAAACATCAATGAGAGAGCAACATCAATCAGCTGCCTCCTTACATCTCCTACTGGGGATATGCCCACAACCAAGGTACATGCCCTTGACTGGAATTGAACCTGGGACCTTTTAGTCCGCAGTCCAACGCTCTATCCTCTGAGCCAAACCAGTTAGGGCTAATAAACATTTTTTTAATCAAAACTGATATACAACCGAAGGTAGTGTTTAACTAAAAGGGAAAAGGGTCAGCATATGGAGAGGTGTAGCGAGGTAGCTTCAAAAGTAATAACGTCCTGGTTCTTAAATTGTGTGATGGGTTCATGTGGGATTATTTAAAATTATTCTTCAGCACTTATATATATTGTAGATACCAAATATTATAAAACATAAATATTTCCCTAATTTGGATATTAATACATAAATTTCAAAGATCTAAAAATACGTTGCTTAGTCTTGACCAGGTGGCTCAGTAGGTTGGAACATCATCCCGTGTATCAAAAAGGTTGCAGGTTCAATTCCTAGTCAAGGCACATACCTACGTTGTGGGTTTGATCCCCGGCTGGGGCATGTATCGGAGGACATGGACCAATGTTTCTCTCTGACACTGATGTCTCTTTCTCCCTGCTGCCCACTTCTAAAATCAATAAAAATATATCCTCAGGTGAGGATTAAAAATCAATAAATATAAATATGCTATTTAAAACAGTAAAAACTCAGACACCAATGTAATTCGTATTTCCAAATGATAATTAAAACAGTAAGAATGTCTTCCTTGATGGTGTTTATCCTTTTAAAAATTCCCTGCATATGATAAGACCATAACACATTTATGTTCTTCAACAGTAAGAATGTATTTGGAGTCATTATGACTTCAAGATAAATGTTGGAATATATTTTAGTTTACCATAATAAAAGTTCTCTAGGATAAACAATTTTTCAAAATAATGGAGAAAAACTAATTTCTAAAAAGAAATCATCCAGCTACCTTCCTTTTTCTTTTGTGAATTAGATACATAACATCATTATTTGATTTTTGGAGAAGGAACACTTCAGTTAAGTGAACTACAGGGCATGGTTTGAGCACCTAAATGTTTTAAATAAAACGGCTTAAATAAAATAACTCAGGAAGAGGGAGTGAGCTATAAGAATTTACAGCTGGCCAAAGCCGGTTTGGCTCAGTGGTAGAGCGTCGGTCTGCGGATTAGAAGGTCCCAGGTTCAATTCTGGTCAAGGGCATGTACATTGATTGCGGGCACATCCCTGGTAGGGGGTGTGCAGGAGGCAGCTGGTCGATGTTTCTCTCTCATCGACGTTTCTAGCTCTCTATCTCTCTCCCTTCCTCTCTGTAAAAAATCAATAAAATATATATTTTTTAAAAAATTTACAGCTGAAAATAAACGTAGTACTTTTTCAGTCCTTCCCACACATTTCGTCATAAAAATTATTTTAAAATATTAGTCTCCATATACACATAAAATATGCACAATAAAAATTCCTTACTTTTTCACTCTAAAGTATGCTGATGCTCTGTTTGTTGGCAACACAGGATTATATGGATCGGCATTCATGCCTTTAGTGTAGCATTCAATTGCTTCATCATATTTTCCTTGTTTGAAATACTTATTGCCCTGAAAAAAGCATACAAGTCATATATACTCTGGCATAGAATTTTCAGAGTCATTTTTTCCCAATATTATCCAGCTCTTTATAATTTATAGCTATGTGATCAAGGTCAAAGAAATGAAAGTAAAACAAAAGGTATTTTTACAAGTGCTAAAATTCATTATAAAGTCATAGTTTGGTCACAATCTGAGGGTTCTGGCAGAAAAATGAATAAAACACTTAGCATTATATACTTTTATTGACAATAATAACCCACAGAAATGTAAACAAGAAAAATATCAAAATGAATTTTAATCTAAAGAGTGCCACCTTTTTGAAAAGCAATATACCCAATTTTATAATAATAAGGCACTCCTCAGAAAGATTAATATTCCTAAAAATAACCATAGATGGCTGGTGATATGGAAAAGTGGAATATAATATTCATGTCAAGAGTCACACACTAATTTTAAATTATTTCAGTCTACTACTAAAATCCCCGAATAACTCTCTGTATGGTCTAAGCACTTTTACATATAAGAATTAATTTAATATTCACAACAACCCATTGAGGTTTATTAATAATATTAATCTTATTTTACAGCTGAGAAAACTTAATACTACAAGGAATTTAAAGAACTTATCACAGGATTTGAACCCAGGCAATCTGATTTCAGACACATACTCCCAATCACTAAATTACGCTGCTTTCCGATAAGGGTATGGCCGAATAACAACTTAAAGAGTGAACACCCGCTAAAGTATGTTGAAGAAATCCTGTGATCCATATGTTTTTCTATATGACCTACCCACCTGAAGAAACCTAAAGTTATCCCAAAAAGTTATACCTTTTCTTTTAAAGCAAGGGCCTTTTGTGAATCTACATGAATTCCATCTTCTTCTGACTCTGATTCTTGAGACACAGAATCATGGGTACTCTCTTTGTCAAGTTCATCAAGGATACTTTCCTGAAATTTTAAGTAGAGGAACAGTGTTCATCCTATTAATAAAAGAGTACTGTGCAAATTGACCATCGCTCCAACACACAAGATGGCCACCCCCCATGTGGTCAAAGATGGCCACCACAAGATGGCCTGCAGGGGAGGGCAGTTGTGGGAAATCAGGCCAGAAGAGGAGGGCAGTTAGGGATGACCGGGCTGGCAGAGGAGGGGAGTTGGGGGGAACCAAGCCTGCAGGGAAGGACAGTTTTGGGGGGACCAGGTCTGCAGGCGAGGGCAGTTGGGAAGGGACCAAGCCAGCAGAGGAGGACAGTTGGGGGTAATTCTGGCCTGCATGGGAGGGCAGTTAGGGGTGACCAGGCCGGCAGGGAAGGGCAGTTAGGGGCAATCCAGCTGACAGGGGAGCAGTTAGGCATCGATCAGGCTGGCAGGCTGAAGTGGTTAATGGGTGATCAGACTGGCAGGCAGAAGTGGTTAGGGGCAATCAGGCAGCAGTCCTAGATTGTGAGAGGGCAGTCGGACTTCCCTCAAAGGATCCCATATTGGATAGGGTGTAGGCTGGGCTGAAGGACAACATACCCTCCATGCATGAATTTCATGCACTGGGCCTCTAGTAATTATATGAACATTTAAAAAAAAGTACACTCAACAGAACTTAAGTTGTTATGAACTAAGGACTTAAAGGTCTATAAAAGCCAACCAAATAATCTCTCATTGTAAAGACAACATCCAGAGAAAAGGGTACTCTTGTTTAGAAAACCAATATCCAAACCATTTAAAGAATTTGACTTTGATTTCATAAAGTAAGCTAAGTGAAAAGAGTCTACAAACCACCCTGAAATCACAAACTATTAGCAGTGAAGTATTATGATTTGATAGAAGCTTACAAATAACCACAAACTAACCTAATATCAACAAACAGCAAAATCAAGTGCTTGGGTTCAGTCAAGGGCACAGGCCTAGGTTGCAGGATTCATGTGTGAAGCAACCAATTAATGTCTCTCTCACATTGATGTTTCTTGCTCTCCCTCTTCCTTCTCCTTCTTTTTCTCCCCCCTCCTTTCCTTTCACACTCTCAAAAAACAAACAAAAAAGGAAAAATATCCTTGGGTGAGGATTAACAAAAAACAAACAAATTTGTGATATATTCACACAGTGAAATTCTGATCAGCAGTAAGAAGAACAAACTAGTGCTACTGACAATACGGATCAATCTCAGATGATGCTAATACAGAAGTACAAACGTATGAAACATTTACATGAAATTCCAAAACTGGCAAAACTGATCTACAATGCTAGAGACCACAATAGTGGCTGCCCTTGGAGGTAATTAACTGAACAGGAAGGCTGCTGGCATGCTGAACATGTTCTGTATCTTGATCTGGATGGCGGTTTCTCAGGTGAATTCATGACTAAAAATTCAGGCAGCTGCACACGTAAGGTTTTTGTACTGTATATATGTTATATCTCAATAAAAACATAAAAGTGCAAAGAAAATAATAAACATAAAAATCAGAGTAGTGGTAATGTCTGGGATTAAAGAGAGAAAGATGGAATAGGGAAGGAACAAACTGGCAGCTTCAACAGGATTAGAAAAATTCTCTTTAAATTAGAAGGTCGGTTCACATATAATAGTACATGGGACTTCTTTTTTTTTTTTTTTGCTGAGTTGGGCTATTCTCAGACTGTTAAGTAAGCACTTGTTCTTGACCAGTATAATGTTGATGCCTACATGATTGCTACAGTTTGTACATTCACCAAAAGGATTTCTGGTTTAGACATAGAGAAGGCAGAAAATCAAAGTGCAATAATTTTCTAAGCTTCCATCAGCTGACTCTTCAGCAAAAGTCTGACTGGTTTCTCTTCTGCCTTTCAGTTCCTTTCCAGGTTTGTTTCTTTACAGGGTGGGGCAAAAGTAGATTCATAGTTTTGTTACACAAAAGTTTATTCTTGAGTTATTATTAATTATACGAACAACTGGAACCTACTATTGTCCCAGCCTGTATTTATTTTATTATGATTTAGAACATTTATCTCCACAAGCTCTTTTGTATGAATCAAATATTACATAATAAACACTTTTTTTCTAAATATATTTTTCTTAATTTCAGAGAGGAAGGAAGTAGAAGAGAGAAAAACTTCAATGATGAGAGAGAATCATTGATTGGCTTCCTCCTACACACTTCACACTAGGAAATGAGCCCACAATCTGGGCATGTGCCCTGATCAGGAATCAAACCATGACCTCCTGGTTCATAGATCAACTCTCAATCACAGAGCCATAATAACACTTCTTTTAAAAAGACTAAAAGGGACTGTATATTCCAAATCAACCTAACCAAATCAACCTTTAAGACTCTAAAATAGGCTGGCCACAGGTTTCCTTTCACAGGTTCCCTGACTTGACAGCGGCTGCTTGGAGCACTGGGTAGAGGATTCTGAGGAGGAATACTGGCTCTCCAGTTACACTGGGTATCATGGGAGATGGGAAACACACTACACTTATGCTATTCCTGGTCTTCAAGCATACCAACATCAGAATTATGGGGATGCCAGAAGAAGAGAGAGAGCAAGATTCTGAAAACCTATTTGAAGAAATAATGACAGAAAACTTCCCATACCTTGTGAAAGAAAGAGACTTCAAGTTTAAGAAGCACAAAAAACACCAAAAAAGAGGAATCCAAAGAGAACCACACCAACACACATTATAATTAAAATGTCAAGGGCATAAAAAAAGAGAGAGAGAGAGAGAGAGAGAGAGAGAGAGAGAGAGAATATTAAAAGCAACAAGAGAAAAACAGTTACCTACAAGAGAGCACCCATAAGACTGTCAGCTGATTTCTCAACACAAACTATTCAGGCCAGAAGGGAGTGACAAGAAATATTCAAAGCAATGAATAGCAAGAACCTACAACCAAGATTACTCTACCCAGCAAAGCTATCATTTAGAATTGAAATTTCAGATAAAGAGCTTCACAGACAAGAAAAAGCTAAAGGAGTTCATCACTACCAAACCAGTATTATATGAAATGCTAAAGAGTATTCTCTAAGAAAAGGAAGAAGAAAAAAGATAAAAAATTATGATCAACCAAGTGGCAACAAATACTTATCTATCAACTAGTGAAGCTAAAAATCAAGAGAATAAAAAATCTGATGAACAGAATAAACTTGTGAATGTAATAGAATCAGCTGCATGGAAAGGGAGCAGACTGACAATTCTCTGGGGGAAGAGGCTGGGGGATGACGGAAGAGATTGGACAAAAATCTTATACCTACAAGGACAGTGGGGGGAGGGAGCGGAGAACATGGTGGGGGTGGGAACTGGGTGGAGGGGAGTTATGAGGGAGGAAAAAGAGGAACATCTGTAATAAAATGAACAATAAAGATTTTTTTAAAAGTATTGGTAGAGTCACTCTTTTCTGGGAGTATTACTATTTTAAAATTCAGGCTATTTAGGGATTAGAGATGGTGGGAGAAGGGAAGAGGATGCAACTACAAATGGGTAACACAAAGGAGATCTTTTGGTAATGCAATATTTCTGTATCTTTATTGTAATGGTGATTACCCAAATCTACACACGTGATAAAATGGCACAGAACTATACATACATTGTACCAATGTTAATTTCCTGGTTTTGATACTATACTATAATTAAAATGTAGCCATTGGGGGGAAACTGAGTGAAAAGTATACTGGACCTCTATGTGCTTTTTTAAAAAAATATATTTTATTTATTACAGAGAGGAAGAGAGAGGGATAGAGAGTTAGAAACATCGATGAGAAATAAACATTGATCAGTTGCCTCCTGCACACCTCTGGGGATTTGCCCTCAACCAAGGTACATGCCCTTGACCGGAATCGAACTTGGGACGTTTCAGTCTGCAGGCCGACGCTCTTTCCACTGAGCCAAACAGGTCAGGGTTCTATGTGACATTTTTATTCCACAGACAAGTTTATAAGAGAAAGAAACAGGTTGTAAGAATTCAACATTTTTCATTTAATCCATGGCTCTCAGCTAATGCCATGAAATTTTACTCAAAAAACTAAGAAACACATAATTAGATTAACTTACCACATCAAGTTTTGCCCATGCCTCATAATCATAAGACTTTATCCTATTTTTTGTGTTTTCATCTTTAGTTTTCTTAGAAGATTCTTTAGCTTTACCTTTTTTCTTTTTCCTAAAATTCCTATTTCGAATTGGAGGTAAATTCTAGGAAGGAGAAAAAAAACACACGTTTTGAGCACCACTCTGTTATTAATTTTTCTATACCTAGCGATGTTTAAAACTCTCACTAAATTATATTCCATGTAAAAAGTATTTTTAAATTTTAATATTCAAGTGCTTAAAAATACCAACTTACCACCTTCATTTATAATAATTTATGCTTAAAAAGTTTAATTCATCCTTTGACAAATGTCAAACATTGTTCAGTCACAAGAAAAATACCACCCAAAATTTTAATTATATACTTAATTTGTAATCCTAAATTCAAACTTCAAAAACTACCTGATCTTCAGCCTTAATACAATTAACTAGCAGTGATACAATGGCAAATTGAACTGCCTCGACATCATTACATCTAGTATAAAAAATGCAGTCTTTAAAGAAACATTTGATTAAACACAGGTACTATCTACATTTTTATGACAACAGTATATGTTAGTGTCATTACAAAATTATATATGATATACATGATATACTCACCAGCCAATACTGCTATTCATTTACTTTTTAAAAAATATATGTTTTTATTGACTTTAGAGAGGAAGGTAGGAGGAGAGATGGAAACAATGATCATCACGATCATCGTCTATCTCTTGGTGCATGGGACAACATTCAACCAACTGAGCCACACCAGCCATACTGCTACTTATTTAAGAATCATCATATGATCTTTCTCTCACTAAGCCTTAAAAATGTGTTACTATAGTTAATACAATGATTACAAAGACTTTAACAGCAGATTTTTCCAAAATGTTGACAGGAAGCAAGTCACTTCTATTTCAATATTTTCACAACCCATTTTAAAAGGTGCTTTATTTTAAAGTAAATAGTTCTGCTGGATTCTGAAGTAGGAATCTAAGAAATTTACCTCTTCAGGGGCACCATTCTGTCTTCTTAGTTCCATATCCTTTTGTTTAATATCTTCTTCCCAGTTTTCTAAATCCCTCATAAAGTCTTGTAATTCTTCTGCATTTTGTTTCACTTGTAGTTGCAATTCAATTGCTTTATTAGTTGAAGTCATTATGGCCTGCAGAGTATTGAACAACCAACCTCTAATAAGAATTAAATTGAATTATTTACTTGTTTTATTTTTTTTTGAAATCTAGCTAATTACCTTTTTACTTTTTACCTTGTCATAAATGGTCAAGATATATGAATAGAAGGAATACTGAAGAAAATATCAGTATATTATTTTTAAAATAGGTCAGTAAGAATTTGCTAAATAAGCAAAAAATTAAAAAACAAGTTTGAATATCCCCAAACTTTTTTTAAAAATATATTTTATTGATTTTTTACAGAGAGGAAAGGAGAGAGCTAGAGAGCTAGAAACGTCATGAGAGAGAAACATCGACCAGCTGCCTCTTGCACACCCCCTACCGGGGATGCGCCCGCAACCAATGTACATGCCCTTGACCGGAATCGAACCGGGGACCCTTCAGTCCGCAGACCGACGCTCTACCACTGAGCCAAACCGGCTTCGGCCATCCCCAAACTTTGAAAGGCAATTGGGAGGGAATCACTGAAATTAGCAAATACCCATGGTAGCCAATTAGTTGCTCATCTCTAAAGTTAATAAATTTATACTAATTAACTCCTTTCCTCCTTTTTATTTCAACATTTTTTGACCTTCTGCCATATGATAGGCAGTCCCTTGTCTCACAAAGTCCCTTGTCTAGTGTAGAACAAAACAATCGAATAGTAACAAAATATTATCTTAAACTGAATTATCTACTTGTTTCTCAACCTTGGGACTATTGACATTGTGGCCAAACCATTTTTTATTGGAGGGGAGCTGTCTTATGCATTGTAGGATGGTTGGCAACATTCTTGGCTTCTACCGCCTAAATGCCCGTATTACCACCTCCCGGCTAGACTGTGACAAAAAATGTCTCTCTGAGAAGCATAATAACCCCTGCTTGAGAAGCATTTTGCTAGAGAAACACATAAATGCTATGGGACTGACCACAAAGGACAGGCATAAATCAGATGGTAGGATGGTAGGTTCAAAAAGAGTCCCCATGGGTGCTGCAACTTCAGCAGAGTTTCAAAAGAGGCCATCCAAGTGATTTACATGAAGGAGTGAGCAGACACAGTGAGGGACTATGAAGGACTCTTCAAGGAAGACAAAGTGGAAATGAAACAGATCTTAAAATGCCAGAGAGCTATGTGAAAATATTAATGCGGTAAAATAAATGGTGACTGGTTAGACTGAAGAACTGCAGAGTGCAGAAGACTCCATCAGTGTCTTAGGTTTCCTGTTTGGGAGCCTGGTAAGATTAGTGGTGACATTCTGAGTCGGGGATCACAATTTTAAAAGAATAAGAGGCTTCAGGATTGAGGACAAATGAAAAGACAGATATTTCAGTTTGGGATATGTTTTATTTGTGTGCTTATGGGACATCAGGAGGACCTGGTAGGTAGTTACAAAGGGGTAGTTCTAAATTTGGGCATCATTGGCATAAAGGTGGAAACTGTGATTATGGGGTCGGGTGGGAGATTAGAGAACACTAATATTTAAACGAACCCAGGAAGAGATGCCCACATAGAAGCTAGGCAGTAGCATGTAGGGAGCTGGGAGGAAAACTCAGAGAGCACCATCACAGATGAGTATTTTCAAGAGTTGAGTAAGGTGAGATAGGCTAGCAGTGCCAAATGCTGTAGAGATTGTATGGGGGAAAGAAAATTTTAAAGATTAAAATATCATCTCTATATTTAGTGTTACAAAGATTATTGAGAGTTTTAATGGGATTTCAAGAAGTATGGAAATAAAGCGAGCTGAGTAAATGAAATTACCAAAAGGAGATTAACATAATTTTGTCTTTGATATTGTAAGATAGCTCCTGTGCCACATAACCACGTTTGATTTGACAAAGCACCACACATATAACCATGGTTCCATCTATATAAGAAAAACCTAAGCAACAGTTATAATGGATCAACCGGAATCCGGAATGACCAGTCAACCATTTGTTATGACACGCACTGATCACCAGGGGGCAGATGCTCAATTCAGGATGATCAGTGCGCTCCCACAGCCAACCAACCTCCTGCGGCCCCTATCCACCCGCACCAGCCAACCTCCTGCAGCCCCTCCACTGTACACCCCCTACCTCCCCATCAGCTCTGATTGGGAGGGCCAGCCAGCCAACCTCCCATGGCTCCTCCCCCTGTCCAGCCCTTCCCCACAGCCGGCTGACCCCTCAATAGGCCTCAACCACCAACCACCAGTTAGGCCAAGGGACCCCACCAGTGCACAAATTCGTGCATGGGCCTCTAGTAAGATAATAATGGAGCTGAAAATTTTCCATCACCTAGTGACATCATGACCATGTAACACATGCATTACTCATGTGTTTGTGGTGATGCTGGTGCAAAAAGCCTACTGCACTGCCAGTCACATGAAAAAAGTAGAGCACATATAAGTATACAGTACATAATACTTGATAATAAAAAACTATATTAATGGTTTATAATTTACTATACTATATTTTTCATCATTATGGTAAGAGTGTATGCTTTATACTTATTTTTTTAAAAGTATGCTGTTACACTAGCAGCCTCATCCATCTCGTTTACCAAGTCTCTTCATTCCATCATTTTCTCTCGTGCTTGATTTAATCTAAGTTGTTTTGTTCAGTAACCTGCTGTACAGGCTCCTAGCCTAGGACCACTAAGCTATACTATGTAGCCTCGGTGTGCAATCGGCTGTACCACGCTGGTGTAAGCGCACTCTATGACTTCCACGCAACTACAAATCACCTAACCGTGCATTTCTCTTAACTTTCCCCAGAACGTATCTTCATCGTTAGGCCGTGCATGGCTGCTGGAGGAGAAACACTGGTGAACGCAGAGATGAGAAAGAGGTAGCCATGGTGCAAGGTCACCAAGGGGTGAGAGTGGATTCAAAATTTAAAGGAGGGGAAGGGGGACGTAGAATTTGGGAGACAAGTGATTAAAAACGGGAGTCGGTCCCTGGCCGGTTTGGCTCAAAGGACAGAGCATCAGCCTGTGGACTGAAGGGACTGATGGGTTCCAGGTTCGATTCTGGTCAAGGGCACCTGCCTGAGTTGCAGGCTCCACCCTCCAGTGGCGTTAGGGAGGCAGCCAATCAATGATTCCCATCATTGATGTTTCTATCTCTCCCTCCCTCTTCCTACCTCTCTGAAACAAATAAACAAAACGTATATTTATTTAAAACAAACAAACACGGGATTCGGGAAAGAGATATTGCAAATGCAGATAGGTCTTCTAACTCCCAGCCTAGACCCAGACACTAAGTTTAAGCTCCTTTCGGGCAGTGCCCATGTTTGATCGCATGTGTCCGTCTCATTAGGAAACAAAACAAGTGCAATGCTTTGTTGGGGACTCAAAAATCTGAATAAAAGGGCAGCAAGCCAGGGCGATGCTGTAGGGGGGTCCACAGCCTCTCCACTTCGCACGTCACCTCTGCTACCCCTGCAGGCCCAACTACTCCCCCCGGAACCTGCGATGGACCGAGTGCGGTCCAGACAGGCACCCAGAACCTCCCAGTGCTCGCGGGGGATCTCTTCACGCCCGGTCTCCAGGGAGCACCACGCACCCACGCGGAAAGGGGGCAGGCCCGCCGCGGACTTCTCCGGAGTGCGGACCTCCGGTCCGGACAGCCCGAAGCCCAGGCAGCCGGGGCGGAGGGGCCGCCAGCCGAGCAGAACGTCCCGGTCCGGGCGGCGCGGGGCGACCCCCTCCCGGAACGCGCCCCCCGGAGCGCCGCTGCCGGGGACACCGCGGCGCCGAACCGCGCCCGCTCCGCCCACCCGGCACCCGCGGCCGCGCCCCCTTCACCCGCCCGGCGACCCCAAGGGCTTCCATCCGCGGTAACCGCAAAGCCGGCTCCCCTCACCAGGCCGTTAGGGCCGCACCGCCGCCGCCTCCAGCACCTCCGCCGCTCACGCCGCACCCGCCTCCCCGGCTTTCCCACAAGGCCCCGCGCGCCCGGCCCGCCCCCAGCCCCGCCCCCGGGAGCGTGCGCAGAAGGTGAGACCTGAACAGGGAGCTGGCAGGTGCAAAGCGGGGGAGTTTGCCTGCTTCCCGTGTTACTGAACTTCACGGGAGGGTACCCAAAGCCTTCAGGGTCTTCCTGACTTGTCTCCCAGATTGTCATGCCTTGAACAGTTCCTTGGACGTCCCTCAAACTACTGCATCCCGAATATTTGCCTTGGATTTTTGTGAGGATGATAATCATGGGAGAGAGTTACTGTTTCTCTGCCGCGAACAGATGATTGTAAACTTGTAACTCTGGCAATTCTGCAAGGTTTCTCCTCCTCCCCTGCCCCCCCTTTAAATGCTTATATTTGGTAAACCAGTTCTTCAATCCACCTTGGCAAGTAAACTCCTTTTCGGTGTCTATCTTTGAGTCCTTCTGTAGCGTGTGTGAGTACTAAGGTCTGTCTTTAGATGTGTCCTGGCATACAAAGCAGAAAGAAAACGAAGCTTGTACCATTTCTTGCTTCTGCTTCCTATATGAGTGATTTCTCTTTTTATGACAACTCAAAAAATTATAGAACAAAAATAATTTTTTAAATTTCACGGAAGCAAACAAACAAGCAAAACTTTTCATTTGGAACAGCTCTATGATCTTAAACCTTAGCCCAAAAATTGAGGTCAGTGGCTCTCAAAAGCTTGACTAGACCTTGGAATTACCTAGGGCAGGGGTCGGCAACCTTTAAGACATAAAGAGCCACTTGGACCTGTTTTCGAAGGAAAAAAAAACACCTGGGAGCCGCAAAACCATTGCGACATTTAAAACAAATATAACACTGCATATATTGTTTCTTACCTTAATGCTATATACCGGATCGTGCAGTTAGCTGTCAATCTGAAGAAAAAAAGGACTTTTTCACTTAACAATGTAAAATATATTTTTGCAAATTAATAGCTAATTAAAATATTTAATTTACCTGGTTAATGGGATTTTTGCTCCTGAACCTCAGTGCACAGTGTCTGCACATCAGGGCTGTAAGACTTTACCTTCATTTTCACACAGGCTTGCAAGTTGTCATCTGTGAGGCGTAATTGATGTTTGTTTTTAATATAGTTCATGTTGGAGATGTGGAGCCGAAGATCGACAGGACTCCAAAAGCATACTTTTTCATGTTTATATAAGTGTTGGAGATGGCATTCCATGTTTCGAATAAAAGTTTGTCCTGTTTGGGAAGGTTTTCAATATCACTCCATTTATGATTCTGAGCCAGAATGGCCTTCTGACGGGCAACATCCTCAAGAGTAGCGGCCAAGCATTTGAACTTGGACACCCATATATCTTTGTCGGCTATATCGGCCAGTTCCATCTCAAGATCAGGTAGACTTAGACCTGCAAATGCAGTTATATTCAATAGGGATGGATCGATCGCCAGGGGAGTGACAGGGAAGGATAATGTGTCTTTTTCCTCTCTGAACTCACAGAATCGTTTCCCAAACGAACTTTGCATTGTGGCGATTGCAGACTTCAAATATTCCAAATTTATCGTATCATGACTTTGTTTGAACTCTCTCAAAGAGGGAAAGTGAGACAGTGTACCTCTCTGTAAATCTTTGACAAACACTGTCAACTTGTGCTCGAATGCCAAAACCTCCTCCAGCATGTGCAGGGCTGTGCTTCCTTTCCCCTGAAGGGTTGTATTTAGTGTGTTTAGATGTGCTGTCATGTCTACCATAAAATGTAATTTTTCCAGCCACTCTGGTTGTTCCAGCTCAGGAAAGGTGAGCTCTTTGCTGGCGAGGAAAGTTTTTACTTCTTCCAAACATGCGACAAAGAGTTTTAGCACCTCGCCTCTGGACAGCCACCAGACCTTGTTGTGGAGCAGGAGGTCAGAATATATGCTTTCCACTCACTGTACAGGCCCGACTCCCAGTGACAGTCACACTGCAAGCCCTCTCTTTCTCTTTCTCCAGTCCTCTCTGTCCTCTTCTTTTTCCTTCTCCCTTTTTTCTCTTTATTGCTTTATTATTATTATTATTTTTCAGTGTCCCCTCTGTCAGCACCTCTCTTTCCCCTCGCAGCAGTCTCCTCCAACCCAGCTCATAGGTGCACAGGCTATGATGTGAGGGAGGAGGCTGGGCCAGGACAGGGACGCTGTGGTTGCCTAGCGACGCTAAGTGGCCAGCAACCTGCCACACAGAGCGCCAGGAGCACTGGAGGTGGCGGAGATAAGTGATACAGCTCCCCGCCTCCCCTCCTCCCCCCACCTGCTATCGGCCGGCTGGGAGCCGCAGTATAGCTTCAAAGAGCCGCATGCGGCTCCGGAGCCGCAGGTTGCCGACCCCTGACCTAGGGAGTATGAAAAAAAAATGCTTGATTTCTAGGTCCCATACTCAGAGATTCTTATTTAATTCATGCCACCAGGGCATCATGATTTTTTTAAGTCACAGGATATAGCTGTACAGTTGAGGTTGGGAACCACTAAACCAGGTAATGGTCAATGAAAAACCTCCCTCGGGCCCTCCCTTACAAGGTCATATTATTAGCACATCTTTCCCACTGTATAATTATTTGGTATCTTTGTATTTTAAAATCATAGGGGTCAAATCATTAATCTCATTAAAATATTTACCAATGAAATTTAGTAAATTTACTTTGGTTTTTGTGTTAAGAGAATAGATAACTAAGAGGTTTTTTGTTTTAAAAATTAATAGTAAAAAACTTAAAGCAAATATTAATGTGTAGGTGTTCTTTTTTATATAAATATATTTTATTGATTTTTTACAGAGAGGAAGAGAGAGGGATAGAGAGTTAGAAACATCGATGAGAGAAAATCATTGATCAGCTGCCTCTTGCACACCCCCTACTGGGGATGTGCCCACAACCAAGGTACATGCCCTTGACTGGGATGGAACCTGGGAGCCTTCAATCCACAGGCTGACGCTTTATCCACTGAGCCAAACCGGTTTTGGCTGTGTAGATGTTCTTAACAAAAGCAACTGTATTTTTTTAATTAATTCTGTCAGAGTCCATTGAGATGGGAGAGGAAAGAGCCACCTGGCTGGTCTGGTAACACCTCATAGACCATTGGGTGAATTCTCTTTCTCTCACAACTCACAACAATCAGACAGTTGTTTAGTGAGTACAGAATCAAAGCGAGAGGAGTTAGTCTAATGGTCTCCATGGCCATCATTACCTAATTCTGAGGCTTCCATTGGCCTACAAAAAAAAAAAAAAAAAAAAATTATGCCTATAAGGGCAGCCTTTTCTCTTCAAGGGAGTTTGAGCATTTTTAGTTTTGGGCAGTTGTGTGCTCATCTAAAAACTAAGAATTCAATAAATAACGAAAAAGAGGAGAGCAGATATTGAGGGGCAGGCAGTAACCTCTGACCCAGGCCTTAATAAGTATCTTTTGAAAGAAGGATGAATGAATCAGTACTGCTAGAAACCCAGGCTCACTATAACCTGAGGAAAAGGGTTGAATTTTGTAACCCTGATTCTGCTACTTACTGAGAATGTAAACTGTAAAATGAGGCATAATCTGATTCTCCATTGTTTAGGTGTAATTAAAATAGTGAAGATAAAAAATACATCCCGGAGAGAGAAAATGAATGTAAAACTCCTATCTAGCACTGCTTGGGACATGGTTAAGAGCTTTAAAAAACGTTATTGCTCCCCCTCCCTCTCAGGTGAGGCTCTGACTAATTAGTTTCCCCTGATAGCAAGCTTTAAGAAGGACAGTGCTCTGGAATATTTCAAAATGGTTCCTTTTCTCCTGCCTGTGTTGGGGGAAAGCACTGGTTTCTGCTCCAGAATCTTTTCTCCAGCAAGTCCTATCTACAGTCTCCTGTCCTTTGCAATCTTGGGGGCAGGAGTTTGCCTGTGTCCTCTCCTCTCTTACGAATATAAGGAGAGTTGTTAGTTTTTCCGTCTGTTCCGTTTTCACTTGTTAGGATGGAGTGGCAACTTCCAAGCTCCTATGTGTGGAACCAGAAGCCAGAAGTACACTCCTCCCATTCTTCACATTACAAGTCCACCAGGAAGAATTCTCGCCCCATCTCAGCCAGCAGGACTTGGTGAGACCTCAGGGACTTCACCAAGCCATCCTGAAGAAACACTGAAAGCAGAAGGACCACCCCCAGCCCTGTTCCTGGGCAAAGGCAGGGAGACAGACATTTGAGGAAGGCCAGTCACAAAGAAGAGACACATTTCAAATTTTCTTAAATGTCTTTAATTGGAGACTCAAACCCTGTAGTTCAAGCCTGGCTCTGTGGAACAGCAGCTGGTTCTCAGTGGAGTGAGGGGAGAAATGCATAATTGAGGTTGAAATGCAGTCTTCCTGATCTTCCCATCTAGAGTTTGTTGCTGCTTAAGCCTTAAAATAATACTTAATGGCACCAAGCTATAGGCTCCTTTCTTCTTCTGATGCAAAAATCCTCCGGTGTGGGAACCCTTTCACAGATTATTTGGGATCAAAATACAGCTCTGTAACTGCCCTAAAGAGCTACAAGCAGGAACGTTCTTGATGCAGTTACTGAGCTGGCTGTCAAATCCGCCAGGCCTGGAGAAGTCCACTCCCTGCCAGCCCATTCACTGTGTCAACCCATGATCCTCTCTGTCTAGCACTGGAGTTCTCCCAGTCCCTGCTCTGAGAGGATGTAACCCTAGAGAAGACCAAATACCCATGCTTGATTTCCATGACCTGATTTCTTTGAGGCCCCAACATAGGGCTGAATTGCTGTTTGCAGAGCTGTGTACAATGACAGCCATTATAGTAATCTTGAACGTCTATCAGCCATTCTTCCTAAGAACAATTGATAGCACTTTCACAGTAATAACCCATCAGGTTTGCCCTCTCCCCAACCCCACAAAGAGGAGAGGGGGCAAACCCCTTCCCTTACATTGAAAGGAAACCTGAGGCCTGGAGAGGTTGTTCACAGTTCCAGCTTCCCAAAGGGCGAAGAGCTATGGAGGGGCCCACCTTCTGTGTCTGGATGCTGTTTCCAAAATGCTGGAGGACAAAGACTTGACTGTTTCCCTGCATTTTTCTAATTTGTATCTTTTCTCTCTTTCCTATATGGACATGTCTGGATTTGGGAATCCCTCCCAGTCTCCTCCATCCCCCCACTCCAGCCCAGAGCGGATAGCATCTCCGTCCTGCAAAGGCTCTCACTGCCCTCTTGCCCCTTTCCGGTCCCCAGCTCTATCGGGTCGAAGACACCACGTAGGCTGTGGCGATGTACTTCTTGCCATTTCCGTAGGTGGACTTGTCCCAGGTGTAGGTCTGGATGGCCAAGGGATATCCACCCAGGCTTAACTGGCACCTGTGGAGAAAGATCATCACATCATGGGTTCCTGCTTCACTCCACCCCGTCCCCAGACAGGAAGGAACAAGCCCCGTTCATGCAGAAGTCCAGACTATCTTAACAGGCCTCTAAGAGGCTGCCACCACTTACTTTAGCTCCCCACATGCATGGAGCCCTTTCAAAATCTATGCCTGTTTTCCATCTTCTTTAAAAACACACAACAAAAACAAACAAACAAAAAAAAACACCACTTTTCATCTTTCCCAGAGCAGTATTCTAAAATCCCAGATTCTGGAGCTGATCTCCCAGAAATTAAAAGTCTGCGTAGGGTTTCTGAGGTAACAAGACCCAGGATTCTCAAATGTTAGAGCACATAAGGCCCAGTGGTTTCAACAGTACTCTCTGGGGCTCCAGGGTTCCCCCAAGCAGCATCAGGGGCAACTCCATTTCTCACTGTCACACACATTAAGGTCCTCATAAGATTTCATGGAGGAAAGAGGGGTGGCAGTTCCTTGGCTAAGGTGAGGTTTGTCAGTCTCCAATCTGATAGGTTCATTTCCCAAGTGAGAACCCTGAGGCTCAGTCCATACCCTCTGAGCCGCTGAGTGGCAGAATCCAGGTCTCCCAACAGTCCTGGCTGAGGCGAGCCTGCGGCCCAGCCTGCCCCCCTGGCCTGGCCGGCCCAGTACTCACGTTTTGCCTGGCCTGGCGATGAAGCACAGGGAGTAGAGGGCAAACTCAAACTCGGGGCTGCTGCCGATGAAAGCGGAGCCCACTTCCTTATAGTAGCCGTCCCAGTTGAACTGCATGGCTAACACGTCAGGGTAAGACTCCCACTGCGGACAGAGAGGGGGTATGAATGCCACAGAGTGGAGGCTGACTGAGGGGAAGCAAACGGCAGCAGTCAGTCAGGATTTATTTGTTGAGGGCCAATGGTGTCTGTGTGAACTTTTGGGGGAGGCTGGATTCTTCAAATAAACAGTTCCTCCTGCTACTGTGTGTAAACCCCTCTCCGACCCTGTATCTGGAGCTGCCAGTGCGTATCTCCCAGGGAGGCCAGAGTCAGCATCTGTATGATCGATGCCTGGGGAACAGGGACATATCTGTGCCCTATGGCCCTCACACATGGAAGAAAAGGATTGTTTATCACTCCCCAATTATTTTCTGGCACCGGGCAGTAAAGGTTTCATTTTTATAAAAAGTTTAACTCAGACTAGCCAGATGAAACTTCCAGCTGACACCATATTCTAAGAAAATTCGGGCAGGAAGTCATGGCACAACTGGTTCTCCTCTCTGAGAACCCTGCCCGCAGCCCCATCCAGAGATGGTGCCCTCTGCCTCCTGCCCCTGCAATTGGGGAGCCTTCAGGGTTTGGAAAGGAATTTCAGTGTCCTGACTGGCTAAACCCACTGTCCAGAATGGGGAAGTCCAATCCGTAATTCCCCATTAGCTGCCAATGAAGGTCAGAGTGAGAGGCAAGTCTGACTGCTCGGAGTGCAGAATGAGGGCAGCACGTCTGGCTACTAATAAGGCATCGACAGGGTCAGCACTCAGTACTCACAGGCCCATCGTAGATGTGGCTGTAATAGTCAACCAGGCCCTCCTTCTCTTGCATGTAGAAGCGGATCCAGTTATGGAAGCCGGTGACCTTGCCTTTTTTTATTTCACCTATAATAAAAAGGGCAACATGGGTGATAGGGCCTCCCCTCCAGCCCCTCTGTCCCTCCCATGCCAAGGCTGTCTCCCTTTTCAAGTCTCTGGGTCCTAGACTTTCCACCTGCTCGGCCCCTTGCCCAGACTGCTCAGAAACCCTTGCATTCTTAACTTTTACCTCCAGAAGCCCCCCCTTTCGGCTCAAACCCTCGGGGAAATTCCCCCTCCTGGCTGACTCTGGTAACCAATCTGAGATCCATTCCTCCAAGAGCAAACCAGACTTGCTGGGAGCTTTCTGGGCCAGTGCAGTGGGCAGACCAAGGCCCTCTTGGGAAGCAGCTGACCAAGCCCCGGAAGCAGAGGACCATTCAGAGGTAACAGCCATGGCCCCCAACATGTCTCCCTTCCTACATGTGCCCCCTGGGAGCCCGGCATCTGGTCCTCTTTCGCCCTTAGACTGTTCCTCACCCGTGACTCCTCAGGCCCCGCCCTCTCAGTCTGGGAGTGGACATGTCCCTCCCTGCTGGCCGGTGCAGCTGCGGATTCATCAACGCCCAATCCTAAGGGAAGCTATCCCTCCATCTTTCTTTCCAAGCAGAGTGATCCCACCTGAGAAGACGTGTTCAAAGCCACTCGAGTCCCCCTCTTCATTGCCTCTTGAATAGAGCCCAAACCACATGTTCTTCAAGTCATTGACAAACTCTCGTTCAGAGCCGTAGCGATCTGGGGAGAGAAACATAGAGGATATAAGAGAGAGGAAGGCAGGATCTGATCCTGGGAAGGAAGGAAAGGCCACCTGCTCCATCATGTCAAGAGACACCTGGGTTCAACCAACAAATGCATTCGATTGTTCATTCAGCAGTGATCTATGGGGCAAGCGAGGCCCAGATCTAACGGTGAAAGATTCAGCAGGGAATCACAGGACTGGATCACAGTCTTTGCAGTTTGCATTCCAAATAGAGGAGACAAATAATAAGCAAATAAACAATAAGTAAACAATATGGTTTCAGATAAGGGCTATGGAAAAAATAAAGATTATTCCACGATGACTGAAGGTGGGGATGGTGGGAGGAGCCCTTCTAGAAAAGGAAGATCAGATAGGCCTCTCTGAGAAGAGAGCACTAACCAAAGACAAAGGATTTTTTAAAAATCACTCCCCGATTGGCTGGTGTGATTCAGTTGGTTGAGCATCATTCCATGCACCAGGGGTTGTCGGTTCGATTCCCCTGCGGGGAAGTTGCCCAGATTATGGGCTCGATCCCCAGTGTGGGGCATATAGGAAGCAGCCGATCAATGATTCTCTCTCATCATCGATGTTTCTATCTCTCTCTCTCCCCCTCTCCCTTTCTCTCTCTGAAATCCATAAAAACATTTTTTAATCACTCTGGTTGTGTGTTTAAAAAAGTCAGCAGGGCATATGAGCATCAGAGAGACCAGTTTTGAAGCTAACTCTTTGTCCAGGTTACAAGTGGTGGTGGCTTAGACTATGGTGGAAGCCATGGAGGAGGGGAGAAAAGTGGGCAGATCGGGGGTAGATTTTTTTTTTTAATAATTATGTTTTTACTGACTTTAGAGAAAGAGGAGGAGAGTGAGGGAGGAAGAGACAGAAACATCCATAAGAGAGAACCGTTGATTGGCTGACTACTGAGGACTGAGCCCTCAACCTGGACATGTGCCCTGACTGGAAACCAGCAACCTGAGCTCTCGGTGCATGGGACAGTGCTCCGTACTGAGCGACGCCAGCCAGGGCCAGGGATAGATTGGGAAGGTGGACATAATAGAGGTTACTAGTGGAGGAAGTGGAAATGGGGAACAGTGAGGTAAAAAGAAGAATAAAATATAACTTCTGGGCTTCTGCCTTGAGCAACTGGATGAATGGCAGTGTTGTTTATGAGATGGGAAAAAACTGAGGAAGAAGCAGGAACTTCTTTACACTAAGTTCCGAAGAGATGCCATTATATAGACAGGAAGAGATGTCAAAAAGGCAGTTGGGACCCAAGAAAAAGGTCAGGGCTGGGAGGTCTAAATGAAGGAGCCATCAAATACCAACTGTTTACTGCCCAGAATTGTGTGGGGGGGATACAAATGTGATACCGGACATAGTCCCTTCTTTCAAGGTCTTAAAACACAACTGAAAAACAAGACTAAATCTGCACAGAATTACAGAATGGTTTCACAATCTGAATGGCAACCACTTTCTTGGTGCCAGGCTTTCCACTGGATGCTTTACAAGTGTAAGTCCTCCAAAACCCCATTTCACAGATAAGACTCAGGACAAGTAGGTTAATGTATCCAAGGTCACTCCACTAGTAAGTGGCAGAGTAGAACTCTAATCCAGTCTCTCTGGACCAAGGCTATTTGGGGCCAGACCCCAAGCCCTTGACTTCTGAGGAGATGATGAAAGCCAGCTAGCTGGGAGCTGCGGCAAGTACAGTTTCAGACATGCGGTGGGATGTGAGCTAGAACTCTGAGGACAAGTGGAATTTGGACAGGGAGAGGGATGAAGACAGAGTGAGTAATGCAACAGCCTGGCCTCGGTATGGGAACCCTGGGTTTCAGCCTGGCTCTGCTTACAACTTCCTTTGTGGCCTCAGCCAAGTCACCTAGTCTGTCTGGGCCTCCATCTGATTTGAAAAGTTAAAAGGGCTCAGCCTGGACAGCCAAGATTCTCTCCAGTGTTTACTACAAAGAGAACACCAGGGGGCGTTGAAGGATTGTTTCCTCTTCATAGGGATTACAAGTCTGCCTTGGACTTCACCTAAAAAACAGCATATTACTAAATCAAGGCAGAAGCCCTGGGACCCAATGCATAGCCGAGACCAGAGGACCAGGGAGGGAAGACCTGGGCAGAGCCTCTCTGAGGCAAAGCCCAACTGCCTGACTGCAGGAAAGGAATCCAGAGGACACTAACAAACACAACCCGTGCCAAGAAGTTCCGCAGCCCTGACCTTTTTTGGTCTGATTCAAATGTTTAATCAGAGCCCTTCCTGGTAGAACCTTCCCCTCTGAACCTTTGTTGATTTTCTGTTGCTGTTTCCCCAACAACAACAAACATGGAGTGGGCCGACCTCCTTCCTGGACTGAGCAGGAGCAAGGAGTAGGATCAGGGACGCTGTGAGCCTGGAAAGCGGTGCTGAGCCGGGATTGGCCGAGGTGGCTGACCCTGCCCTGGGTGGAGTGGATCACAGCCTTGCAGAGAACCCCGAGACTGAAGCGGTGAGTGGGAGGGAAACAAGGCGGCTGAGAGTAAATCAAAAGATGGGGTGACTTCCAGGCCAGATGGAAGATTCTTCAGCCTCTGCTTGGGTCCATGATCTTTTTGGGTTTCTCTCTGGCCCTCTCTCCCTTCCCCCTTAAAAAATGGACATCCAGCCCTGACCAGTTTTCTCAGTGGTTAGAGCATTGGCCCTCGGACCAAAGGGTATCAGGTTTGATTCCCGGTCAAGGGCATGTACCCCGTTTGCAAGCTTGATCTATAGCCCCTGTCAGAGCAAGTGTGGGAGGCAACCAGTCCGTATGATTCTCTCTCACTGACATTTCTTTCTCTCTCCCTCCTCCCCCATTCCCTCCCTTCTACTCTCTCTCTCTCTAAAGATCAATGGAAATCCTCAAGTGAGGACTAAACCAATAATAATAATAATAATATAAATACTACAATGGACACCAGCCTCCATGTAGTCCCGACCCATGCTGTTACTACCCACCGTAGAGGCCCCAGAGGTTCCTGGCTCTCCTGCAGACAGACCTGAGCCCTCAGCACTGCCTTGGGGCCGGGGCAGGTTCACTCACTCTGATGATGGAGGAAGCTGTAGAGTTCCTTCATGACGGCCGTCTTCATGACCTCGGTGAGGAAGGTGTCCTGCTCGGCCAGCTGCTGGGCGCTGAAGTGCTCGCCGTGGCCCGTCGCCCGCTGGTAGTTGTTGAGGAGGTTGATGAAGGCTGCGTAGGTCGGCTTGGAGAACAGCTCTTCGTTGACATATGTGAAGAGCCTAGGGAGGTGGAGGGGGGCCCAGTAAGAGGCCTGAAGGTGGCGCAGAAACCCCTCCAGGACTGCTGATGGGCCGGGGCAGGCCTGGGAGGATTGGGTTCAGGAGCAGCGTGGGGACCTCAGATGTTCTCAAGGGCCTGCATGTGGTTACTCTCTCCTTACACTTCAGCTCCTGGAAGGTTAGGCATATTCCCAGCCTGGCCCGTCACAGAAGCCCTCCCCCCTGGTGCCTACAGTCCTCATAGCTTTGTCTGCTTCTGGAGAACTTTTTTTTTTTTTTTTTTTTTCCTCTCCCTCTGATCCTCCTGCCTGGAGGATAAAAGAGCTGAGGCATCAAAAGAAGCAAGCTTGGGGGAGAGACTTAGCAGGAGAGGAATGACGGGAACGCACGGCTCCGGGCAGTGGTCCACTCGGTCTCCGGTCTCAGAGGGCGAGATGGCATTTTGGCTGTTGAGAATGATGTCTTCCTTCTGTGCTTTGTTGGTGTCCGCCCTGTAGATCTTCTCCGAGATGGCCTTCAGCTCATCCGTGGTTATGGCGTCGCTGCTGTGGGAGAAGCCCTCTGGGAGGGATGGGGGGGAGGGTGTCTCAGAGCCAGAGGGTGGCCAGAAGGAGGCATCTGTCTGAATGCATCCCCTTCAGGCAGAAGCTGGCAGCAGAGGAGAGGGGCTGTAGTCAGGCCCCCTAGTGGCCAGAGGACAGGGGCCTCGAGCCTTAAGGATCCTTAAAATCAGCCCCTGGCCTTGCCCACAGAATGTCCACCACACAGGCCCTTCCTCTGGGAAGGTTCTCACACTTTGACAGGCATCAGAAGGCTTCTTAAAACAGGTTCGTGGGTCCCTCCCCTCCCCACAAGAGGTTCTGATCCAGCAGGTCCAGGGTGAAGCGTTTCTAATACAGGCCCGGATGATGCTGATGCTGCCGGCCCAGGGACCCACTGGGAGAACTATTGCTCTGGAGGGTCCCGCAGGCCTGGGGGCTAGGCTAAAGGGAGAGGAGACTCACCGTGGCCGCACTGGCTCTCGAAATCCTCGCAGCAGTTCCCAAACTCTGGGCAGCGGGCATCGCAGTGGCACGGGTGGTGCTGGTCGAAGGACTTGTGGCAGCGGCCCCGGCAGGAGTCGGGGGCTGAGTACAGGGCTGAGAGAGCAGGGGGAGGTGTGTGCCCGGAGGACCTCTAGAGGTCGCTGGGTCACGGCTAGTTCCCCACCCTTAGCTTTGTTGGCTCTCCGACTATTAGACCTCTCCGGGGAAGGGAAACAAACAAGCTTCACTAGTCCACACCCTTTGCAGTCAGGAAGTCCTTTCTAGTGCCCAGCTCTCCTTTCGGGCCTGTGTTTTTATAATCTTCCCGCTCTAAAAATAAAACCTCTTCCACTTCCCTCTCCGGCCTCTCCACGGACCCCGGGCCCTCTTTCCTGCCAGAGCCACCACCCACCCCCTGGGCTGCTGAGGGCCTCAGGCTTCTTCCTGCCCAGATCCTGAGTCCAGCAAGCCCCTCTTACCACCTCCAGGTGCTGGACTTGGGGTCTGTCTGACGTAGGTAGGCCTAGGCCCGCTGCCACTGATATGGCTGCCCCTGCCCTGTCACCCTCTCATGTCCCTTCTTCTTTATCCTGAAGGGGCTTGGGGAGGTAGACTCACTGCTAGCCAGGGCCTCCTCCATCGCTTCCTCCATCTCTTCCTCCGGCTCCGGGAACTGCTTTGGCTCTTTGGGGTCCTCTTGAACTGAAAGAGAGAAGTCAAGTCACCAGCCATCCCCGAGGGACCCCTCCCTTTATCTCTGGTTCTCAGTGCCCCAGCCTCAGGGACAAGCAGGTGCAGTAGAAGAAAATACGGAGCAGGCGCTAGGGAACAGTGAACAAATACCAAGTGAAGGGGGAGAAAGACTGGAAATGGAAGGCAGGAGGGGACCGATTATTGAAAAGAATCTCCCCCGGTGACAGTCCTCCTCACCACTTTACCTTCTGGTCTCAGTGTGTTCGTCTATACAAAGGGGAGGGGGAGGCAGGAGGTGGTCCCTTCTGGATTGAAAACTCTGATTTGGTTACGACAGGTGGGCAGGCTTGACATTTTCTCCAAATGACAAGACCCTTACTTAGGAACACGCCAGGCCTCTCCTAACTCCCCATCGGAGGCAAGAGTGAGCTCCTCCCAGAGCCTCCAGGAGTAAGGACTGCTTTCTGAGGAGCCAGCTTCCCTTCTTTCGTTGTGACACTTGACAATGGCCACCTGTGTTTGGGGAAGTGTGTGTTCAGAAAAGCCCATTCCTATTGCTGCTCCATCCCGTTGGCTTGGAGCCTCTCCCCTGGGCTGAGTCGGGTGAGTTGGGGTGGGGAGGAAGAGGATGAGCTGGGGTGGGAGGAAGAAGATGAGCTGGGGTGGGGAGAAAGAGGAGGAATGTTCCTGGGACCCTGAGCTCCTTGTTCATCACACGGCAGAACACTTTCCCCCAAAGAAACAACGCTCTGACAGAGTGACTGGGAATCCATGCCAGAGTTTGCTGGGTAACACTGCGTGGTTACCATCAGAACCACCGGTCACATTATTCATTCGGTCCACAGGGATCTTCTGACCACGTGCCCTGTGCCAGGCTGTGTTCTGAGTGCTGACTCCCAGGGTGCCTAACTCAAGTTACATTTTATGCCAAACAGACTTTTGGGAGCTGATGTAGGTCTCAACAATCTTTAGTAACATTTTGAGTTGCACATCAGAGAAAAAGAGAGAGAGAGAGAGAGAGAGAGAGAGAGAGAGAGAGAGAGAGAGAGAGAGAGAGAGAGAGAGAGAGAGATTCCAGGGCTCCTGGCAGAGTGTTGTCTCTATGTAGACATGTGAGTGTGATGGTCTAAGGTGAACGGGCCTTCCTGGGTCTGCCGAGTGGGCGCAGCAGCAGCAGAAAGGGGCGGCTCGGCTGCTGACAGTGAGCAATGGGCCTGTGCTCCTGCCTGCGCCCAACTGGCACAACTCCTGCGGGTAAGTGGTGTGCTTGTGCAAACTGAAGAAAGGTCCCTTCTGGGTGGAAGCAGCTCTGTGGGCACAGGACTGGGCCAGCAGACACCACCTTTGGGCAAATCAGGAGAAGTCACCCCTTTCTTTCAGCTGGCACAGATCTGCCCAGGGCACACGGCTTAGCAAGAAAGACACAGATTCCGTTTTGACCCGATTTGCCTCCTCACCAGGCGCCCTCGCACAGAGCACAGTGCACACAGCCGTGTGCAGTGATCGTGCAGGCCGTGACCTACCATGGCTCCAGGGACCGTGTTTTCCAAATTGGGAGTCAGGACACATGGTTGGGCAGAGAACGTAGCTAGGCGTTGTATCCTAAAGCAGATGATCATTTACCTGAAAGTCTGAAACATCGACAGCAGGCAAACCAGGTGGCTATTCAAAATGATGTGTGTGCTTTTTTAATTTAATTTAATTTTATATATATTTTAAAATAGGTCTTATTGGTTTTTTTTACAGAGAGGAAGTGAGAGGGACAGAGAGTTAGAGACATTGATGAGAGAGAAAGATCAATCAGCTGCCTCCTGTACACCCCTTACTGGGGATGTGCCCACAACCAAGGTACATGCCCTTGCCCGGAATTGAACTCGGGACCTTTCAGTCCGCAGGCCGACTCGACGCTCTATCCACTGAGCCAAACCGGTTAGGGCAAGATGTGTGTGTGTGTGTGTGTTTTTTTTTTAAATGACTCACTTAAGACTGTGCCATTGAAGTAACAATGGCTCTTGAGGGCAGTGTGTGTCCCATTTAGTCGCTGGACTGGGAATGAGGCTTGGGGATGTCACGGCCACCCAGCCTACTCACCGTGGGAAGAGCGGTGTGAGCTGTGACCGCCACTGTGTCGCCCAGTCTCCCTGGGCGCATGCACGTGGGAAAAGCAGGCTGCCGTTTTTATACTTTTGCTATTTAAAGTGTCAAGTAACCATTGGTATTGGAATACATAGTAAAATGAAATGGTTATCATTTTGCTTTTTGGGGAACTGCCTAAACTTTCAAGATATCATTAATCCTGATAGTTCAGACAGATAACCCAGGTAAATGACATCTGTTTTATTTTAAGTTGGGGTTTTACCCTTGGGGACATCATAGAATACCTGGGGCAGGTGGTGTCTAAATGGCTGATCCCTGCCGCATGCCCAGTATCCTCATCCAGGCCCCCTGAGCGCCGGCATCAGTCCTGAATCCCGTTCTAGACTGCTGGCCATCCCAACCAGCAGCCCCTGGGCCAAGCTTGGCATGGACATGGCTCAACCCACTGTGCTCAACCCACTGTGCTTTCCTTTATCCGCCTTCCCACCTCTTCCCCCCAAGGAGCCTCACCGGTACACGGGTGCTGGTAGTCGTCACAGCAGTCCCAGTACCAGGGACACTGGCGGTCACACTGGTTAAATTTCTCATTACAGCGCGATGCGCATGACTATTTCTCCTATGGGCGGTAAGGATCCCAAACTCTACCCTCTGAGGATCCTATTCGCCTCATCAAGGTACCCCTAAGTAGAGGGTTCACAGTCCAGGGCTGGGACCCTGCTGGCAAAGGAAGGTCATTGCTGTCTGCAGGGAGGAGTGCTTCCACAGGCCCACATGCACTAGGCCCAGCACCCACCCAGCACTGCGGGGCTCAGCATACAGACCAGGGTCACACACCCAAACGCCTACGGGGCTAGGCCTGCGACACAGATGAGTGAAGAAGCAGGAAGGCAGTGGGAAGAGGTGGGCACTGTGACAAAGTTGGGACTGATGCCCAGCCTGAAACTGGCAGCCACCGCCAGCTCCAGCCACCTGCGCCATGCTGGGATACAGGCTCAGTGTCGCCACACCCTCTAGTTCTTTAAGAGAAGCCTTCATTTTTATGTGAGATTTTCCGATTTTTAACAATTCAGGCAGCCCAGATGAAGAGGTCTGTGGGCTGGGTGCGGCCCCGAGGCCACTCTTCACCTGTCCTGACCCATCCCCTTCCCCTCATCCGGTCCCTTTTACGCTTTTCTGCTTCTTTGTTCTCTCCTCTCCTTCGTCTGGACTTCTCTGCATCCTCTTCCCCCTATTCTCCCCCCCCCCCCCGCCTCCCCCCTCCCAGCCACATCTTCCAGTTTCTTGAATCTTTGGAATGCACTCAGATCCGTTTATCTCAGGGTGGGAATGAGGCGGGTGTGGGTGAGCACTGGCCTTGGGAATAAGCTGTTTTGTAACCACAGACCACATCCCGTACTCCAGCCAACGGGCTTGCAGAAACAAGCGTTTGGTCACAGGACAAGACATTTCCAAAGAAATGGTGCAAACCCACCACCCCTCCTAAGCAAACAAGTCCCACCACGCCCACCGCAGCAGCAAAGACCGCGGCGGTGCGAGCCCAGGGGAGGCTGGCTGGGGGGCCCTTCCTTCCACTCGGGTTTCAGGGCGACAGCAGAGCTTTCTTTCCATTTGAGGTCCCTGAGGTTTGGCTTCAGCGAGTGCTGGGGTTAGGGTCAGGCTGTGGGTTAGAGAATGTCAAGGTCAGAGGCAGAGTGACTGTCGGTGCCGGAATTTGTGTAAATGAGGAAACCGAAACCTAATTTGGGGGCTGGGGTTGGGGTGAGTTAGGTTTAGACTAAGTGCTACGGTTAGGATTTGGGCTTGAGTTAAAGGTATTGATAAAAATAACAATTCTGTAGTCTTGTTTAGGGTAAAGCACTGGGGATAGCTTTAAGACCACAGTCAGGGCTGTGGAATGTGTCAGGACTGGGAGAGAAGGAATTAGCCCAGTTTTGCCTTAGACTAGATCTGGGATTTGGGTTCTAATTATGATCCCATGCAGGTATAGAGCCTATTTAGCCTGGGTTCAGGGCGGCAGTGAATATTAGGATATGGGTTAAGTTCCTGCTTTGGGTTCTGGGATTAGGGGTTACGCTGTGCTAATGAGGGTGACACAGCAGGGAGCTGGAGAACCTGGAGTCTGGCGCCCAACTGCTTGGGGCTGGAATTCTGGTTCTGCTGCTTTCTGGAGACGCAATCCTGGACAGGTTATCTGACCTTCTGTGCCTCGGTGTCCTTATCTGTAACAGCATGATAATGAGCTGATCCCATTGAATGTTTATAAGAACTAAATGGGTTCATGTTTGTAAAGCACTTAGGATAGTGCATCACAGATTAGCACCAGGCTAGTGTTTGTGAGATAAATAAACCGTGGCAAAGTTTTAAGCCCGTCTTCATGGTGACAGGAATTCAGAATGGCTGGAGCAGTCATTCCTCCCTCCAACATGCCCTCCTGCTCCTCCCTCCCTGAGTTTCAGCTAGGCCTTGGGGGTGCCCATGATGACTGTCGCTGATAGTCTCCTAGCTGACACCCCCCTCTGTTTTCCTCACATCAAAGAGGTGTCAGGTCAAGGTTACCCAGAGCCATAGGCACCTTCACCTTATGTACAGGGCCTCCTGTGTGGCCCCGACGGTTTGGCCTTGGATCCAGTGAATTGTCCCTAAAAAAAAAAAAAGTGCAGGCCCTAGGCCCCTGTCCCTTTAGGCCCAAGGGAACTCCTCTTGAATCTTAAACGGTGCTCCCTTAGAGCCTGCCTGGGAAGACCTTAAGGAGAAATGGTCAGCCCGGGAGGAAGGCTCAGTCAGCTGCCTGCCCGGTCAGCCTGGCAGTACACCCAGACTCCGGAGGAGAGAATTCAGACAAAGCAGGCCAGCGTCTAATGGGCCAGGTCAGCAGAGTCCGAGGAAAGAATTTGCTTCGTTCCAGCAGCTGGCACCCGTTGAGACGGGTTGCGAGTGAATAGGCAGCTCTGTGGTGCTCAGGAGAACTCCACACCCCCGGCCCCAGACTGTGTCCCCAGCAAGAAGCCTGGCCCAGGATCCTGCACGCTTTTAGAGGACCTTGGGGTTTGAGGGGGGAGGGATGAGGTGGGAGGAGCTGTTCCTCAAAGCGACTGTTCCTGCTGTGTTGCTCTGGGGGCACTCACTCTGACTCCTCAAACCGGTGCACCACCCGATACCTACTGTTTACACCAGTGCATAACCGAGGCCTACTGTTTACACTGGTGCACCATCCAGGTCCTACTGTTTACACCAATGCACCACCCGGGTCCTACTGTTTACACTAGTCCACTACCCAATGCTTACTTTACACCGGTGCTGTGTGTGCCTGGCTCAACAGCCAGGCACCTGAATCCCTGCTCCAGCCACCAGCTGCCCTCATCCCTCTGCCCCTTCTCTGACTCTGCCTTTCTTCGTTTTGGCCTTTCTTCTCAGACTCAGATTCTTCCTCCATTCCCCATGAAGAGCTTAGCCATGACCACCCCACCTCAACCCCCAATAAAACACTACATCTCTCTGCACCCTCCAAGATGTCAAGATGCTAGAATGAAGCTCACTCCCTATCCATTCAGCCCACCAAACAGAGCCTGGGCGTCCCCATATGTCAATGCTGAGCCCCTCTGACGGTTGGGGCAACCTACATCTGTGCTTCCACGGGGGCCCAGATGCTGTTTCCATGGAGACCCAGTCAGCTAAGAAAATTCATTTCCAGGACCAGCTTCCTACTTCAGCCAAAGGCTCCCCAGTGTGATTCATGTTCTTGCATCAAAGTTCTGAGATGTTGCAATAGGATAGACAAGAGCAGAGCCTCTTCCCTGCCACCTGAGAAAAGAAGGTGACATCAGCCCCTCAGCCCTCACTTCCCCAGCAATCCCACAGCCAGATCAGATCACCACCCTCAGGCTCCACCGCATGTCCGAAACCACTGTTGCCTCTCCCCCAAACCCCCACCAGACCAAAAGTCTTTTATTTTATTTTTTTAATTGATTTCAGAGAGGAAGGGAGATGGATAGAGAGATAGAAACATCAATGAGAATCATTGATTGGCTGCCTCCTGCGCACCCCCTACCGGGACACTGCGGAGGGGAGCATGATCAAGCCCATAACCCAGGTGCAACACGGGCATGTGCCCTTGGCCGGAATCGAACCTGGGATCCTTCAGTCCGCAGGCCAACACTCTATCCACTGAGCCAAACCAGCGAGGGCAGAGACCAAAAGTCTTGAGCTGCTGTCCTCTCCTGAGAGTGGGATGTATCAACCCTGTGGCCACTCCTTCACACTAAGTGAGAAGTTTTCCTGTCCTCCCTCACTCTCTACCACTGGCTCTCCGCCAGGCAGGGCCCAGTCAGAGCTGATTCCCAGACGCTCTGCAATGAGCGCCAGGGTGGAGGTACATGACCCCATCCAGGGAGTTTCCCCTCCAAAGGCTCTCCACTTAGGAATCCTGCCAGGGGTCCCCTTATCCACAACCCACTTGGAAATGACTCCAAAAGTAAGGTTCTCACAGGAAGATTTATAGTCCTAATCAAAGCCCCAGTTCATTCAGACCTCCCTCCATATAGACTGCTTTTAATACATTATCTTACTTAATCCTTACAACAGTCCTAGACAGGAACCACCTGGGTTGGGTGGGATGGGTATCAAGCTCTGATCCTTTCTTCTCTAGGCAGACAAGGATTCTCCCTATACACCTCAGCTCAGCCCCCTCCCTTGGCCCTTGGTTTCACTGGCTCATTAGCCACAATTAACACAGGGCCCCAGCGTTTTGCATAGCTACTAAACAGGAAAGGATTCCTGCTCCTCTGCTGGCCCCATCCCATCCCTTGCACCGCTAGTAGCTGTGGGCCAGGACCCTTCTCTGTGTTTTAATCCCTCCAACTCTGGGGCAAGACCGATTCCCCTGACCACTTGCATAGCCCCAGGTCGCACATGGCCCACTTCCTGGTCAGGGGCTCTTCCTTCCTTCCAGTTTCCCCCTGAGCCTGCCCATCCCAGAGAAAGGTCCCTCCCCAGACAACCTCATTTATTCCCAGGCAGTGGAGGGGGTAACCAAGGGTAGCAGGCCACTCAAACCCAGCAGACAGCCCCAGCTTTATACCGTACAATGACCACGAAAAACAAAACTTGGGTGAGATCAAAAGTCAGGTTGGACTAAGGAATGTTTGGGGTTGGTCTTCCAAGCTGTCAAGAAGTATCTCCCAGGACATGAGTCCATCAGCCTGGAAACTCCCTTCACTCAGTCCACTCCACTCCAGAGGCAACTCCTGTACCTCAGACCAGGACCCGTCTAAGGTTCTCCTTGAATTTAGGACGGAGCTGGCCCTCCCTTGTCCCACTGCTCTCACCCTCTACCAAGTTCCCCAAACCTCTGCTTCTTTATGCAGGACCTCTTCTACCTCCACAGGATAATGACTTACCTGCCCAGGCCAGGCCGCAGAGCAAGGCCAGTATCAGGGAGACACGGGCCTTCATGGTGCCCAGTAGGAGGCCCAAATGGGATTGGCTGTCAGACTTCCACTAGAGTCAAGATGAATGTCACAGCTCTCAAGTGCGCCTTATTTCCCAGGCTCATCCTTTTAAAGACATCAGAACTTGTAGATCTGGTACCTCCAGATCCTTCCCCAAAAAAGGGGGAGGGATCCCGGATGGATCGGAGGTGGATGGGGGTGGAGTTCTCCAGCTGTTTGAAGCCAGAGGGAAGGTGATTCAGCAGGCAGGTAGGGCCAGATGTTTAGAACAGGTAATGCTAGCCAATTGTCGCTAGGAAATAGGTCATACAGGCAGGCAAGGCAGATGCAGGCCTATGTTGAGATGCTGTCCAAATCCGGGGCAGCCATGGCTCATCTTTGGGTGATGTCTTCCAAACACTCACCTACCCGCAAGCCACAGGCCTGGCTTTTCTACGGGGAAGGGGCTCAGGCTGGCCTCATCGTTGAGTTACTGGTACACAGCATAAGGAACATAGTAAGATGACCATTACAAGTTTGACTAACAAGTGCTCAGGCAAGCGTTGAGGTTAGTGGAAGGAGAGATAAAAGAACCTGGGTTGGAAACAAAGGCTGTTCTTACTACCATCAAGCCGCATGTAGCTAAGTCACCTTATAAATATCATGCAAATTGGCCTCTAACACTTACTGAGTCAGCATCTCGGCTCTTACACGCTTCAGGCCCTCATGGACTTCAGGTTTATGAGGCCAGGGAAGGTTGAGAGGCCTCTTAAAGGACACACCCTTCCTCTTCTGGGAGCCCAGGACCTAACTCCCTTCATCCCCTACTCAGTCTCCTGGCCCCCAAGACCATCCCCAGAGAGATGAGGCCGCTCAGGGCTCCTTTCCTCCCAAGTCTGAGAACAGGAGTAGCCACTCGGGCTGCCAGGCTGTCTCCTCCCACCGAAGGTTAAACCTGCTAAGTAAGATGCCCTTTCCAGAAAGAGCACTGCATGGGAGTTCTCAGCTCCCTCAGAAAAGAAAACTCTCATATAAAAAGGCAAAGCTGCCCTAGCCGGTTTGGTTCAGTGGTTAGAGCGTCAGCCTGCGGACTGAAGGGCCCCAGGGTCAATTCCGGTCAAGGGCACATGCCTGAGTTGGGAGCTTGATCCCATTGTGGGGTGTGCAGGAGGCAGCTGATCAATGATTCTCTCCCATCATTGATGTTTCTATCTCTCCCTCTCCCTTCCTCTCTAAAATCAATAAAAATGTATATATTTATATATATATATATACACACACACATATATTAAAGGCAAAGCTTATGAACAATTGAGACTATTCCACAGTTTTCTGTTTTGAGGTGTTTTTTGTTTGTTTTTTTTTTTTTTTTTTTGTGTGTGTGTGTGTGTGTGTGTTTGGTGGGAGGGAGTAGCATGTCCTCCTCAGTTTAACAGTGAAACTTTTCCCCTTTTGTCCTGTTTTCTCCTCTTTGAAAGAATAGGGCAGCATTGGACAATTCCCTTCTAAGTTCTCAGACTTTATGTTGAAGCTTCCTGCCCACGTCCCAGGCCAAGCGGCTGTCAGTGGGTTAAGGAGAGCCCCCCACCCCCTTGCTGTGTGGAGATGAGATCGAGAACGTCAGGTTCAGGAGTGAGAGGCCAGCCTGGGCAAGCCCCCTTGAAGAGAAAGCCTGGCCCTTTTAGGAAGGAAGCCAGTTACAAGGGAGCGGGAGCAGAAATGGCTGCTTGTTTGTAGGTTTCATTTGCACAACCTGAGCGGCTGCCAGCCAGATTTCTCATTCTCAGATGCCAATTAGTTTAGGGAATAAAGGAGAGTGTCACTGCTGGGCCAGGAAGCAATGACACCTCAGGGTCTGGGATTGGATGGTCTGTCCCTCTCAAGGGCCCAGCTGGCTGGATGGATCCTGGCTGAGGCCAAAACTATGAGAGAGGGTATGGGTTCTGGCCAGCATTGCCCTGCTATCCAACTGAACTAACTGTGGGATGAAGCTTTGCGGTGAGTGTATTGACCTCCATTAAGTGAATGTTAGTCAAGAGCAAGACTGAAAGATGGGCAGACAGACTGACCCCATAGAGCCAGATGATCCCCTGAGGATCCGTGTGTTTCAGACGGGGTCCTCCAACAAGAGCCACGATGTCAGCTCAACAACCATGGCCAGCACTGATGGAGTCCTTTCCATGTGTCACACACAAAGACACATGGAAAGTGTGTCTTTGTGTGTGACACATGGAAAGTGCTCTCGCCTTCGTTCTCACTACAGCCCTTACCAGGGACTCTTGTCATCTCATTGTACAGGTGAGGAAGCTGAGGTACAGACAGGTAGGGAGATGTGCCCAGAAGCACGCAATTTTTAAGTTATGCAGTCAAGTTTCTGACCAGAGTCCACCCTAGCCAACACCAAGGCCACACAGCCCCAAACATCACACCTTCACATACAGCAGCAGCCATTCCATTCTGCCTGCATTACTATGCAAAGTGCCCTGGGATCAGATTCACTGGAACTGGGGACCTCAGAGGTCACCTAGTTTCACTTCTTATGTGATGGTGCAACGCCCTAAACAACCCTACATGGCTGTTCTGCCTCCACTTAAATACTTGTGGTGCTGAGGCGTCTCGCCCTTCCAGGCTGCTCATACCACGTTCCCAGGTCTTATTTGAAAACCCCAGGACTTTGCAACCCAAGACATGCTGACCTGGATGAAATAGATAGAATAACAGGAAAAAATTCCACTCAGCCGATATATGAGCATAAATCCATACATTCATGCAAAGATGCCTCACAGAGAACTTAGATGCACATATATAGGGTGTCCCCCAAAAGGGGATACACACTTTGAATGATTATAAGGCCAGTGCTTACAGTTCATTTTCAAAATTTAAAAGAATCCTCAGAAATGAATAATTTCTTTTTTTGTCAAGCTTATTTTCAAACTGATGACCATTCTGGTCCAGGCACTGCTGATAACACAATGAAATTGTGAACATCAGGAATCATTTTGTTCAGTATTTGTGCACCTTCACTTCATTGACTGTTGCAGTTTTATACCATAAACTTTATTTTTATGTATCCCTCCCCCACCCAAAAAAAAAAGTCTAGTGGCTTCTAAAAAGTTTAGGATAAATGTTCTTTGATTAAAGCTTAGTCTGGCTTCACCCATGATTTCAAACCAGTTCAGCCTGAAAAGGAGTGAAAATTAAATGACTTATCGGATGTTAAAGTGCGTATACCTTTTGGGGGACACCCTAAATATGTATATACTGGAGTGGACCAAATAAGTAAGTTGACTGTTGCGAGCACACAAAACACAGATTTTAGCCTTGTATTATTATTTATTGACCTGCATGTCCTTTTCCATACAAACACCTGTAAACCTACGTTAGCTCACCCCTGTATGTACAGAGGCAGACACATTAGATTGTATTGCGGACAGTTCCTCTTCTCGGCCAGCTTGGTCTGGGCAGAAAACTCTGCGGCTCGTCCTTCTAAGTTCTCCCCCAGTTAGTTAGTCCTCACACCCACCACCTTCATTGTAAGCTCTCCCCCAGGAGCAACCATGGGAGGCAGCCAGCAAGGTGAGAGTCCCAGGAGGTGGGGTCCCGGACACCCGGGGAGGGAGAGTGGGCAGCTGCTGCCTCTGTGGAGAGTTGGAGGGTGGGGAGGAGGGTGAAGCTGCCTAGGCCAGGCTCTAGGAGGAGGCAGTCAGCGGTGAGCTCCATTAGGTGAATGTTAGGGATTGGATGGTCTGTCCCTAACAGACCATGGGGAGTGGGGGTGCCAGCAGTAAGTGTTTCCTGGGTGCTCACGATGGCCTGGTCCATGCTGTTACTGCACTGGCAGGGTTCAGGCTGGGCTGGAACACTGTTCTTGGAACTGTGTTGGTTTCTGGTGGGACAGAGGACAGGGAAGCCGAGGCACTTGGTCACTGTTTGAAGGAGACCCCACTCATCTCTGGGCTACCAAAGTGGTGAGGGGTCTGTCAGGACCAGCGGGCTGTGAGAGCCCGGCACAGGGGACACATGCCCAGGCCAGCCTATTTCACCGCCCTTGCCCTCTGTGAAACCAGGACCGAGTCACTCCAGCCAGGAACAGAGGCTGGAGGGACCCTGCAGCCGGCGCAGCTCAGGTGAGGCCTGGACTCACTCCCACGGGACCCCTTCCTGAAGATCCTGTGTCTCCAGCCCCCATCCCACTGTGGCGTGTGAGTGCCCTGGATAGAGGCCCAGGACAGTCACCCGCATCTGATCGCTGGGAAACCACATCAGCCTGCCGTGTCCTCTTACTCAGTGAGTGTTAGACCGGTCCTATGTGTGGTTTTCTCCCACACTAGCTTGTATACGGTGCAGCACATGTGGGTTTCCAGGCATTTATTTTAAGTGTGTGGGCAACCCTGACATTCAGCATCACACTCCTGGCCAGCCCTGGGCACATTAGTCAGACAGGCTGCTGAGCCACTCATCCCAGAGTGCCAGGCTGTACTTCTGGTTCTGCTGGCCAAGCCCCATGCCAGTCCTCTGCCTGGAACACCCTCCCTGACTAGCCAGCTGTCTGTCTGCTGCTCATCCCTCAGCCCCAGGGCAAATCCACCTTCCAGGAAGCTGGACTTCCTCCCGCCAGCCTACGGATCCCTTCTGCCTGTAGACTAGGTGTTTGATATTTGTTTGTCCCGTGTTTGCCTTTGACACATCACAGCTGCCTCTGATAGATACTGCCGATGAGCTGGCAGTTAACCCGTGCACTGCCATCTAACTTTTCATCCGTATAGATGTTTGTTCAGCTCACCTCTGAAACTCCTTGAAATTGATACCCTGCCTCACAGGTAGCTTCTACTGCTTTGAATCTTTTTCTTTTTTAAAAAAAAAAATTTTTTTTTTTATTGCCCTAGCTGTTTTGGCTCAGTGGATAGAGCATCAGCCTGTGGACTGAAGGGTCCCAGGTTCGATTCCAGCCAAGGGCACTTCCACACAGAAGGCCCAGGTTTGATTTCCAGCCAATAATATATATATATATATATATATATATAT